CCCCCTTGCTAGCTGAGCCAGCAGCATATTCAAATGCATATTGATTCTGCGGTCCATCAGCTGTCACTGTGTGATCCCCCGTGGTTCTTGTTTACAAGTGCCGCAATCATGATACGCATCAGCAAACGAGCCACCAGCCAAGGGTCCACCTGATGGCATCAGCCAAAAACCAAGAAACAGCTTCGAGGGAAAAAGGAAAAGTACCCACAACATGCATACATAGCTGCCAGAAGGCCAGAGCTAAACATATCCCCAGCCAAGTAGACAAAAATAAGAAAAATTTGCATATTTTCCCCCGAGTGTGTTGTGTTTGCTCTTCTCTCCGACTTCTCTGTCTGGTTTTGCACTTTCCAGTTCTTTGCTTTTCTCCACTATCCCTCATATTGCTGGCCATTTTAAAGCTAAATGCTAAATAGACCTTTCGATTTGTTAATGGCGAGCAGGTTATTGGCAAATGGGGAACGTAAGTCAGAGCCACAGGAAATCAAAGCAAATTCTGTGCACATGGGTGGCACTAACTATTGTTATTGTTGGCCAACTATTGCTTGTGTGTGTGTTAGTTCCAAATGTACTTTCAAATTTACGGTTTTCTGAGAAAATCATTGAAACTACACAAATCAAAAATCCTTTCAATGTACATTATCTCAGCTTTGGGGATTTTTTTAATCTGAAAACAAAAAATTTCAATAAAAAATTTAAATTTTCAAGCAACGCCTCAATTATTTTGGCCAGTATTACCTCACTTTAATCCAAAATTGAACATATATACTTTCAAATTTTCTATTTGAGTTATTTGCTATGTTGCTAGATTTTGGTGTACTTAAACTTTGCACTCAGTTATGAATTAATGAAGTCTAATTTTCAAAACCTGAAATCAGAAACTTAAAATGGAAACTCTACCAAATTTCCATTCCCAAGCAAGCTCAAGCTTCATTAATTTCCTGCCAGAATTACCCCAGTTTGGTTTTAAATCGAACACCAGCCCTTTCCCCCTTCTAATTGCTTGTTTACGTCCTTCACCATCGCTGCAGCAAATTTGTAGCTGTTTTGCTTGTCTCGAAGGGGGAAAAAATAAGGAAAGCAGAGTAGAAATTTGCATGAAACAGCAGCAGCAGTAGTTTCGATAAATCAAAAATCTGCAGCCAAGGCAAGAGAGTTACCCCAACCACCGCGCTTTCATCCTTTCAGAGGCGAACGAGGGAAATGCATTGGCCATGCAAACATTGCTGATTGTGTAAACAGCAGTGAGAAGCGGACTGAAGACTTTTTAGGGGAAGGGGTGCCACTTTGGGCACAACAATGAAATTGAATTTCAATGCCATCATCTTCCTTATTGTTGTCAGCCCTGGCAATAATTGTTCGTGCTCTCAGCACGTCTGCATATGTGCTGCATATACTTGAGGCTTTGACAATGGTCCTCACTGCATTCCACGCTATTTGCCAATGATTGCATCTTTTAACCAGACCCGAAACAACAAGGAAAACAGTCGCATCCTGGGAACCATTATCGCCAGCAGCAGAGCAGCAGAGCGACAACGTCCCGATCCTTGGCGATTCCAATTCCCATTTGCAGTTGCCATTGCATTTGGCATACGTGTAAATCGTAAATTTCCGTCCCCAAAACGAATGGTAACCGGACGGCAATGGAAGACCCACAACCGATGCAAAAACCAGTCCAAGACCCGGGCGCAGGGCAATAGCTCATTGTGGACAGCGACAGCGACAGCGGCAACAGAAAACAAAGGTCACTTCCCCGGTAATGGAATAAATATCCGTGAGGACCATCTTTCTCTGCTCGCGCACACACATACGGATTGTCCAACATTTTGCGGCTATTTATGGGACGAACTTTATGGTTGGCAATTGAAAAAAAGGTGCCGAGACGAAATGCATTGTTGCCAGATTTATGTGCACCTGAGATAAAATTTTAATTTCGGAATGCGGAGTTTTGTGTTTTGGTCACTTTATTACCACAATTTAATTAAAATAAACCATTCTGCTGAGTGTTCCAAAAGTTCTCATTAAAATTACCATTAGGTAGAGAATATTCTGATCATAAAATAACTACATTAAAATTTCTTTGCATTTTCCAGTTTACTATTTTCGGAATTGATTTTAATATCTAAAATTAAATTCAAACTTAAACCACGTTTAACATAAGCAAAATGCTTTTAAATCAAATAGGATCTATTTTAAATCTAATATTTTCACATTAATTAAATTACTTTAACATTAAATCATGCAATTTAATATGCATTGTATTTAATAGTATGATTTAAATATAAAATATTAAATTCAATAGTCAATTATTATATTTATTTTTTCTATTCTACAGCATGTATATATATAGTAGTTGTTAGCTAACCGATGAAGTTCAAAAATTCAAATTACTTGTTTTACTTACGTTAAAATTGTATCAACATTTTCGAATTGGCTTATTAAAGAATCCCTGGTTTAATAGAATTTAAATTTGAATAGTTCCAATTTCGCGCACTGCTTTCACAGAAATTATTATTCCAAAAATCCAATTTCATCGCATCAATGCGCAAGCAATCCCCAGCTCATCGCCGTTTTTGTATATTTTGCATATTTTTCACATTGAAGATGACCAGCTGTGAGCTAGGACACCGTCAGCATCCGCAACCGCTCCTTCTTACCTGTGCTCACTTTTCACTCCTGTTCGATTGGGCCAAGAAGGAAATGCGAGACATGAAAGCTCTTATGACATTGCACCCAGAGATGCGGATGCTGGAGTGGATGCTGGCTGTCTTTTATTGTCGGCGGTGTATAATTTTCACACTCATGCAGCGGGTGCGGATGACAAGGATGGTTGTTTGTGCCACCGTTGGACCTCCGGCGGTTTTGCCCACCCCATCATGGCTGATTTGATTGCACTGAGCTTTGGTTCTTGGTGCTTCTTTTGTACTCCCTGCGTTTTGCTTTTGCTTCGTTCACCATTTTGATTATGTTGCAGCATTTTTGCATCATAATACTCATAAATATTTATGAGGAAAGTTGTCTAAACATGAAACGGACATAAAATACCGCTTCCACAATCTTTTCTTTCTCATGCATTTAAAGCGATGCCGATATCAATTAAAATCAACGAAAATGTCTGGACGGAGCTTAGACAGGTGATGTCGTATGATATGTGTTCAGAATTGAACTGCAAAAATACAACATAAAATCACTTTATTCGCACAGAGCTATTGATTTCTGGCAAAATGCATTTAATCGAACTGTTTTAATATGCGGAATGTCATTTCGTTCACCAAAAGACCAGCACAATAATCTATCCATTCGTCAACGATATCAATTTGCCTCCGATGTGTGCAAACAAAAAGAAAAAAATACCGAGATTATTTGCCACTTTGTTTTGCCCCCAAAGAGAATTTCGATTTTTTGTCGATAAAATATGTTTTGATTTGCAGACATTTAGTTAGCAGTTAGTTTTCCCTGTTGGGCGAAGTTTTTAAGCCAGAATGACAATTTGATTAGTTCGGAATAAGTTAACATTTTTTTTTTTGGCTCGTTTCTGGTTGGCCACAAAACTTTGCGACAGGTTTGATAAAAAAAATAGGGAAAAAATGTCATCACGATGGTGATGCCTATATAGAAGTCAATTATTTCGGCAAATATGCCTCCTATTTGCTTATTTTTGTGGAACTTTTTATGTATTACAATGATATTAATAACAGTTCTTTTGTGTATCTGATTATAGTTTAATATTACCTAATTTACACTTCTATTAAACTGCAAAAAACAAATTTAAATAATGTTTGCTTACATGGCGTATGCGTGATGCCAAAGAACGTTGCATACTTTTAGGACCTGTATAAATCCCTTAAATCTTCTCCAACAGACAAGTGATGCATTTAAACATAACATGCAACAGCATGCTCAAAATTTCTAAGACTACGGACGTCTTTTAAGTTTTCTTTTGTTCAACTCGCAACTGTATTTCGGGGATTGTCGGAAACTTGTCAACACTTTTGACTTGTTCTTTGTGCGAAAGGAACAACGACGGCAACTACAACAAATGACTCATTTTCCACGCACTTCATTCTACTGTTGCCGCCTTCAGTGGCAAAAGTTTCCGTCAGTCTGTGCAAAAGCAAACAATACTGTCGAGGGGGAGGATGAGCAATCAAACTCGCTCCCACTTCTGACTTCCTTGGTATACATAGTGGTAGTTTTGCATTTCAGATAGCCTGGATATTTACCATAAATTTGACTTCGCAGTGCTATTGCTTTGATGCGGCTTCCTTTGGCTATCCCGCTCTTATCTCTCTGGCAATAGCCTTGATTCATAAATAATTTCATATTTCATTTCCTCCGCGTGATGCAACAAAAAAGAAATGCTAAAAAAAATAAATGCACGCCGAGAAGCCCTGAGAAACACGCAAATATATATATCTTTTCCAGAACGACTACACACATTTCAGTCTCTGCCTTTCGGCGATGCAATAAAGTGTCTGCTTTTTGCCGACTTTGTCTGGTCTTGTCCAAGCATTGGCCAAAGTAAACATAATAATAATAATAATTCCAACTGCAACTTCAATTTTCCTCTTAGTGGTTCTTTAACATCTCTGAAAAGTGCATAGAGTAAATGTAAAGTGATAAAAAGGGAAAAATGGGCGGTACTTAACAAAGAATGAAAAAAATCAAGAATATCCTAATTATAAACATAAATTAACTGACGCTAAATTGTGAAATGTCATTTAACGTTCTATATAGAATTTAAAAGAGTAAACTAAACAGAGCGTGATTGCGTTTAGCTAGCTTTATGAATACATTACTTGTTTTTACTCATTTATTAATTAATACGACTTGTTGATAGAGCTTACCGCATTTCAGTATCATTTGTAAAATAAACTTTTTTCTACATTGATAGTTCGAGTTATTGAAGTTGGACTGTATCTTACAAATTATCAAAACATAATAAACTGATCAAATTTCCCAATTTAATTTCCCTATAATAACAAAAAAAATGCTGAGCCTTGAGTTCATATCCTGTTATTTATGTTATTGTAATTGTATGATTTTTTAATTGTTTTTTAGTAGTTTGATTAACTAACACTAAATTCTGAACATTTTTCTAATCAAAAAGCAATAAAATTGTTATGACGTTACGTTTCTAGGTAAATAAGATAGCACATGTGACAAATATTATTACGACTTGCTAAATGAATGTTTTCGTTACTGTGTTTCCTGTAATCTTGTCGCAGATATTTTTGATTAACCGTTTAGTGTGAAAAATCACACTGATTGGGGGTCTCCAGCAATTACTCCTCTATTTTTAAACCAGTTTTGCAATAGAACCAAACATCTGTAAAGCAGACGCCTCCTTCTGTTCGAGCTGCCCAGTAAGCATCCTTGATGTTGTCGGTCACATATTTGGGCCTGCCAGTTGGCACGAAAAACCAGATTTCATAGGTGGGATTGTACGACAGCACCTTGAGATCCAAAACCTCTGAACTGAAGGAGATGTGAATAAATGTATTAATGTAATGTATATCGTATATTGATGGCAACGAATTACTTTTGCTGGCTGGCTGGCAGCAGCAGGATAATTGCAATTATTATTGCAGCCGCTTTCATGTTGTAGGTGTCGGACTGACTGGTGGCGAATGTGAGTTATTTGTGTTTTCACCAGCTATTATTTACGAGCCACTCGAGGTTATCGCTTCGCTTTACTGTTGAGTGCGATAAGGCAGTGTGATGTCGGAGTGGCGGCAACGAAAAAAGCGAAAAGTTGCATGCAATGCCAAGCCAAAACGGAATTGAAATAAATTAGACCTCACCCCTGGTTTGCCAGCATGTTTTGGCTTAAAGTGAAGGATAAAGACACAAAAAAAAGTGAAATGAAATTTTTCTATTTTTCTTTCAGGGTATTATACAGTCACGTATCTTGTCACCTGCATTCAGCCTGTGTCTACCCATTTTAGTGGCCAAGAAGGTCAAATTTATTTTATAAACACTACGAATAAACACATTATGAACGTAGGGCACCAACAAAAGGGTTAATCCTTTACTTTTTCTTGCCCAGAAATGGTTAAATAAATAAACAAAACGAAAAATGGGAGCAAGTCAAATAATGGCCAGGAAAAGACATCGTCTATAGTACGTATATCTGTGTGCGGTATATGAATGAGCAAACAATTGAGACAAAACCAACAAGAAACCAAACAATACCATCAAATGCAATCGTAGACAATGGCAGGCACGTTTTTGCAAATTTTTGTGCAAACAAATATGTGTGTGAATATTTGCCTTGTCCGGCAATAACGCCCACAAAGGTATCTCCGCTCATATAGAAAGTCAAGTTAAATAGTTTATTTCCAACAAATTTTCGTTTTCTTTTCAAGGTGCCTACACTTTGTTGCTCTTATTTTTTTGTTTTAATGCCAACTTCTGGCAGTTGGTTTATTTTCTAGGACAATGGGTTGTCATTCATCATGATTTGGTGCGGCCTTGCATGCGATAGCACAATAAGCCAAGCGAATATCTCCACTCCGCCCCCACGTTATGCATCTCGTGCGGCAGTCAACACTCATACGCCTCGTTGCACGGGTTGCTGCACGACTCGCTTCATTGTTGTGGCATATTGTTTCCCATTTTGAAGCCGCCCCACAACAGGCAACAGGCAACTATGCACGCAGAATAACAAAAACAAAAATAGTGTGGAATTCAGAAATTAAATTATTTAAAATCAAGCTCTTATTTTAGTGAATTAATTTTAATTATCAAAGGTAGGTTTGCATTTTAAGTGGATAAATAAACGCCGATAATAATGATACTTGCCAAGTCTCTTTAGGGGTTGATGATATAAAAAGAAAAATGTCTCTTGACTATGTCACTTATCTTATTTATAGTTAATAAACCTCTTATTTTTTACGTTTGCTACCTTTATTGCATATATTTAAATAAAGCTAAAACTAACCCAAAGCTATGTACGTTTTAAAACTAAAAACCTTGAATTAGCCGAGCTTTTAATTATAAAATTTAACTGACTATAAATTGAAATGCAGTTTTCATGCTGATATAGTGTCCTTCTTACTGCACTATTTTCAACTCACTAAAGTCAGTGTTCTCTGAGTGCAGAACTAAAAGCATATCGCAGCGAGGGCACATATGTAAAATCGAGAAACGTGCCCGGCGTGTACTCGGGCCGACAACTGACACGGCTCCGACGTGGAGTTTTGAGTTGCCAGACGGTATGGAATGTGTTGGACCCGGAACTGCCGAAATAGTTGCATATAGAGTGCTTCGAATTTAATTAAATTATAAAGGGACACTGTGACCGGTTGATGGCCAGACATTGTGTAGTTTAGATTTCAGTTTCAATTACAAACAAAATCCCAATTAAGTTGCACTTTGCTGTCCAGTTATGACTAACCGGGCTGCAGACTGCTTGGCTTTGGTTCTCGGTACACACTATTCTGGCATATGGGTAAGTGCTTCTCCTGACTTCACGACTATAATAACAGCAACAGAAAACAAAACCCCAAGGGGCAAAAAACGCTTAGCAGATTAGCCTGGGCATTATTTTCCTTTTTGATTAAAGTGCGAACATTTACCAACAAAACTGAGCTGGCCAGGACAATGGCCAAAAGCCAAATCAAATCAGCTGCAAACACGAAACAAAGCGGTCCAAAAACCGGAATAAAATTCAAGCACACAAACAAAAGGCAAAGACGAAAAATGCTGATGGAAAAATGGAAAAAGGACAAACCCAATGTTTTTCTTCCTTATTTTTTTTTTTGGCATTTCAATCAGCATTTTTCATGGGACTCACATATAAACACAAACACATAAAAGAAAACGTTAAGGAAATCGCATTATAGGAAAACATTTGACCATTTTTCATGTCCTGCCAAAAAAAATGTCATACAGAAATTGAATTGTGGCAAAAAGATGACAGTGCCAGAGCGCACAGTAAATGTTCAAAGTTAAAATATCCGCATTAAATTGTGTATAACCGGCGTGTAAGTAATTTCATTGGGAAAGCACTTTTCTCACTGCATGTCCGCGACAGCAAAGTTGCGCAAAAAATGAAATAATATTATTAGTCAATTAAAAAAGAGAAACAGAATTCGATTACAGTTTGCGGTCGCATGAATGTCAAAGCTTTGCTACGTGCGGATATTTTTTATTTCGCTCAGTTTATCCTATTTGCCTTAAATTAATTCTTTTCACTTATTCCCCTCAAATTTAATATTTAAATTCCTCCGACAGACCACAGACAGAATGCTTACCTTATCCGTCAGCCTCAGACCTTTGTTGCCCGGGAATTACCTATGATTCAGCGACTTCCGCTTAAAGCCTTATGTAAATCCTGACCTGGCATCGGCGGAAATACATGAAAAATGGCCAAAGTCCGCGGAAATGCTTAGCCTGCAACCCCAGCCAGTTTATTCTGTAAAAAATGGTCTTTCATTTAAATTTACGCGCCAACTTGATACAATAAAAGCAAATGTAAAACAGTTGCCCCGCAACGAACAGCAGCGCGAGCAAGTAAAATGTAAAGTCCAAAAGTCCACTTAACAAGAAAATTGTTTCCCTGACCATTTTTTTCAGTCCTATGCATTAAAACCATTTCCATGCCCTTCGCTTATTATTAGCTTTGCCAGTGTGTAGGTGAAGGTGGCCCCATACAAAATACTTTGCACATTTTTATGACCGTGACAGTGCGACCAAGGAGCCCACGGAAACTGCCGGCTCCTCCTGGCTCTCCCTCGTTTTTCCCATTTCCCAGGCACCTCCGTTATGTCACACTGCTCACCCACGCCAAGGATACCCAAACAATTTTCCCCAAAGTTTATGAGCGTGAAAAAATGTCTACTGGTTAGATCTTCAGATGTTTTTTGTTTCGCTATTTTATTTGTTTATTTTTTTTGGGAAATAAAGTCACTGTTTTATGCTGCAGGAAAAAAGGTAATTAAAATGGCTGTTTTTTGTAGACCAAAAACGAAGCATGTTACCGGGAGATAAAGTCCTTTATTTTAAGTTACAAAGCTTGCATTTCTCCTAGGATATCAGCAATGGTGTACTGTGTAATATTGCGTTGCGTTGTTGGAGGGTAGTTTTTTTTATCGCGGCCTAACAAAAATAGAAGACAAAGGAAACTAAACTACCAATCCCAGAACTACTTGTATACCAAATGCTACGTTCGTTCTTCTAATTTTGAGCACACTCAATGATTCTACAGTGCACATCGCTAGTTTGGATTTCGAAATTCATAACGCAATGCCAAGATGAAAAAGTATGAAAACAAAAATAAGGACATTGATTTCGTCCTTATCATTCGTTTCAAGCCAATTCACTTCATTTACTTCGTTCGAAACAGTCTCCAAAACACCGAAGCCTAAGTCCAAGACTAAATTCGTTTGCGGTCTGTGTTTCAGTTTCGGTTTGCGATTGGGATTGGGATTGGGATTGGGTTCAGTTTCGGGTGAGATTTGGGTCTTTCCTTTCGCATTAGGCATCATCAAGGTCCCCCATTCGAATGCCCGTTCACCGCATCCTCATCAGTTGCGCTTCATTGTGTTTTATTCGCTGCTGCTGTTATCGCATGTTAACACTTCATGGCAAATCCCAGCCAGCCAGGCTGGGATGTCCGCCTGATTTCCTTTCTCATCATCATTGGAATGACCTTTCGTTTTGGGGCGTGTATGGCATGTATGACTGTGTGAATCCCCAACACGCTTAGTTAGTTTCTAACACACGCTTTGCGTGCAAAATGTCAAAATACATTTTACTCGGATTTATGGTCACTGGCCGCCACCAACTCCTCCCACTCCAACCCAACCCCATATATATATATATATATATATATATATATATGCTTGTGGGATTTGTGCTTGTCTTTGGCTATTTTTGGGGATTTACACGCTTATCATACATACCTAAACACACATGCTCTGGACGAAATGAAAATATTATGCTACATTTCATTAAAGGCGCTTTCACACACACCCACACCCGAAAGAACATCCCTACATCCTTGAATGCTTTACAGCCACTTAAAATAGATTAGCTTTCAACATTTCAGGCTCTTAGGCAAAACAAAACTGACTGAAAAAAGGCAAGGCGAATGCAGGAAATAATAAGAGCACAACCATAATTCATGTCGGTCTCTTTCTTGTGGTTCCTCGTCCGCAAATGTAATAGAAAACCCATTGAAAACATAAGCAACTGTCAATGATTCAATGTCTGAAATCAGAAATAGTTATACGTGACAGGTCTCACAGATGCCAAGTTCGAAGACACCGCCAAAACGACACTTTGATAAATGAAATGGCAAACATTTGAAAGCCAACAACTTCTCAATCATGGCCGGCAGAATCCAGAAAAAGTGGCCACTGTGGAATGAAAACATCAAGAAGGTGCGGATATAACAGCTATCACAAGAGAGAACTTGGTGTTCGAAGGAAATCAATTTATTTCCCTTTTCAAGCCAGAAATCTTTTAGTCCCAGCGATTATTGGGCCCCAAGCTCTGCCCAAAAGTGAGACTCACTGAAAGAGATCTGCTCACTTGATGGCCAATCCAAACCCCTTCATATTTCATTTCATTTGCCATGGCTTCTTCAGAGTTATAGCAGCATTTTTGGCCCTTTCGAGAGCCCTTTCACATCATCTCACATCAAGTCGGCGAAAAGGCCAAACTAAAACTGCTCTTTCGCTCCATGTGGCCCCATCAACGCAATCTGTGTCCTGCTGTTGCCGCAGCTTCCACTGCTATTATTGTTCCCTCAACTTGCTGTTGCTGAGCAGCGCCATGGCGGCCCACAAAAAAAAGGGCAAAAATATTAGCTGCCTCTCAATCGTTTGGCCAAGGGAAAACCCTAGCAAAAAAAAAAAGGGGGGGAAGAAAAGGGGTCAGTGTAGTGGTGGGTTAAAAAAAATTTATAAAATGGTTTATTTATGCAAATTGTCAATGGTTGCTCTTCAAAAGATAGACGAGCCGTGAGACCCGACTGCTTTTAGGCGAATTGCCTGCCAACGGAGTGGCAAGGCCATTGACAGTTCAGAAGCCGACCCAGGATCCCCATTCTAAACCTTTAATTGAAATGTATGCCAATGAGCTGGAGTTGCCGGGGCCATTGTCCACAGGTCCAAACCAAACAAGCGCCCTCGGAAAGCAATTGGTTAGAGCAAATGAGCAGCGCACAAAAGAGGCCCATAAAATATTTACATTGCCCGCTAAATGCGTGACTTGACCCAAACCCAAACATACTCGCAGAAACACTTAGGTAGAGGATTTGGCATGCCAAAACATCATAAACTAAACCCTACGATGCGAGGCACTGTTATGCCCGCAATCTACACAATTTTCATTTTAAACTCTACTCGACACCGCAATTTCAACTGCATATTTGTTTAAATGATAATCAAATGCAGAGCTCTACCCCCATTTATCACCTACGCGCCAGCCGGTTTGGGTACTATTTTGTACCTTTTCCGTTTTTCCAAACCCCGGTCGGCGGTATAGGCTAACAGTATAGCTTTATCTACACCGCAGTGGGGGCTTTGGGTTTTTTTTGTTTACCTTTGTTGGCCCGAATGACAGTTTGAATAGCCCTTTGGCAGGACACTTTATATATGTGTCTGGGGGGATATGTGTGTGCCCGAGTGGCTGTTGACCATTGGAATGGCCGGCCATCGTCAAAGCGGATGCCCTCAACATTTATAGCTAACCAATGACAGTCTAAACCATTAAATGCAGCGGAAAGTGGGTTTTGAGTGCACTTAGCTAAAAATAATTGCTGCCATATGTTGTCGGACTTTGGTTTTGTCTATAAAAATAACAAATTAATTATTCTTTGTTATTGTTTCTTATAATTAATTGGTTCCTCATAATTTAAACATGTTACAATTATAAATGAAGTGCTTTAATTTTAATAAAAATCATTTTAAATAAATGTTTTGTGCACTCAAACAATTTGAACTTCCTTATAAAAACATTCTTTTTTTAATATCTGACTAATAATAACAAAAATAATTTTAAGGTGTGTTAGTTTAATACCTGTAAATATTATCCAATCCTCATAACAGATTATCACTTTATCAAGCCTTTTTTTTAACAAACTGGAAGTATTGTTCGAGGCATAGCTAATTGTCCTTGACAAACAATTCGTTTTGCCTAATGACTCTGAACGCTTGGCCTTCATTTCGCTTCGTAAAGACACGTATCTCACACTTTGTTCATGTTGTATCGCCAAATAACTTTGGGGCTTATGCAGCTGTTTCTGCTGCTGGGGGCGTCCTTCACTTTCCCGCGAAGTGAGCGTAGGTGAGCGAAAAAAAAATGAAACCGCCAAGAAGTTTTGGACTTTTTCTCCATTCCCTCAGCTTGCGGCGAACACGAGGAGCGGGCCTGTTTGCCCTGCACCGAGCCCAAATGTTCGCATCCCTACATCCAGGAGCCGTTCTGTGCGTTCTTTAAAAAATGTTACTTAGGATGCGGCTGTAAGTTTGGCTATGTGCGCCACGATTTCAACAATCGATGTATTTCTGCCCTGGAGTGTCGCCGCCCAGTTCATCAGTTGCCCATTCCATTTATATAAAGTGTCCTCTATGGGACAATTAAGTGGAGCTTTTAATTATAGGGATAGCTTTTTAGGCATTTAAGTTTATAAACTTTGGTAACAGAGAGATTTATGCATATGTAAACTACATTTTTGTCTTAACGTTGGCCTGTTCCTGTGTATTTCGTGTTGAGAGTTAAGTTCCTAACTCTAAATTTCGTTGGATTAAAATTAATAAAAACCTGTTTGCACTAAATAAGAAATAAATCAAATTGTAGAGTCTCTAAGTTTATGGCCTCTGCTCTTCCGATCCAGTCTTTGTCAATTTACATGCGACAGGATTTTTACGACCTTGTATTTTTGTGCTTCGTTTCTATTGCTGTTTCATCCACTGGCTTTCAACTCACTTTCTTTTTACGACGACGACATGAAATTGTGTCTTGGGAATTCTATGTTTTTAGCAGCGAAAGTTTTATTGTTGATTTTTGCGGTGCTCGAGATTTACGACGCTGTCGGTGTCCTGACCCCATTTCGAGGGAATGCTTATTGTGAGCTGCCGCCAGTTCATAAAGCATACAATCTTAAATCTCTGCTCCCAGATTTCTCCTCCTTGTACCACATAAATATTAATTTAGCCGCAGTTACTCTCGCTCTTTTACGTTGCTTTTACCTTGGCTCTGGCTCTTGATATGTGACATTTGTTTGCTTGCACTTCACTTTATGAATGAAAATTATTGCTCAACATTTTATTATTGAGCTTGTTTTTATTGCTGGCTGTCGTTATGTTCATACTGAAGTTAAATAGCTTCTTTGTTGACTTTTATGAACATAATCAGCAGCAAAGTGATTGCCAACATTCATAAATAGAGAAAATAATGGTCAACCTGTTTGGAAGATTGTTGCCTCCCATCTTCAAATTTGAATGAAAATTTATATAGCATGGCCGAGAATATCCACTCATTACCTCTATGGTAAATCAAATGCGTTAATGCAATTGCATTTTAAAGTAAACAATGTAATCTTCCATCTAGGGACTTAACATGCAATTCCCTTTACAACCTTTTCAATATCTACAAAACTGCATTTCCGTTTTATTTGAACATAATTATGTGGATTGGGCTCTGTTTTGAATCCAAGTTCAGTGAATATTTGTGCATCAATTATTTAGCATATTTGGCTGACAATTTGATTACCCAATGGAACGGGCGAAAAATATTTTGCATTTCCACTAAGGTGAATTAAATGTTAATACTTCCGCTGAATGAGCGTCCACATGCGCATACATTTCTAACAAATTTGGCACAAAATGGTTATTATTATATCATTTCGCTAGACTAGCCACGGGTTTTTGGGAGGATGGGGGGATGGCAGACACAAAACTGTTACTATTATTTTTTTTAAGTGGCGCCCGTGGGTCATTTAAGTTTCGTCGCTGAAGCTCCGAAAATAAAATTTAATTTCCCATTAGTGGTAGGTTTTTCGTCTCATTTTTGCGCCCCAAATAGTCTTTAATGCGTATTTACGTGCATCATATAAATTTATTATGTTTTAATTTATTGCTTGTCATTAAGCCCTCTTCGCTCTTGGCCATACTGTTTCAGTCTCCTTTTTAAACTGAAACATTTTAATGCGCTTTACAAACAAGAAACAACAAGAAGTGTGTGTTTTTAAAAGCTCACTTCAAGTGCAAGGAACTGACTTAAGCCACTAAACAACTTGACAACAATATATTATAAACAAATAAATCGAACGAGAGCCGCAAAGGGGATTACGGAAAAGAGCCGTTGGACAGGACTCCGGCGATTTTCCCGGATCCGGTTGAGGGAGTTGCTGCTTTGGCCCTTTCATATACTTTCCCTTCCCTTCTCCTTTTATAATCGAAACACAGCAAGCTGTGGTGGTGGCCACAATAAATTCAAAACTTTTCGCCCCCAGGGCAGCACACCTCTTTGGCTGAGCATTTGTGTATTTTGTTTTTTGTCGTCTCTCTCGCTTTTCTGGCCATTTAAATGGCGAACTTTTATGGAAACAAGCTTACACGCATTCCTGCTCCCACCCATGCACGGTTCGGTGGAGAAGGGACTTGAGGATAAGCAGGGACGGACCATGGCAACCGACGGAGCTCTTAATTCCTTATGGCCAACAACGATTGCGCCCGCCTGCCAATTGTTTAATGAGCTGAGTTTTCCCCACTTTCTTGTAGCGTTGCGTGCCTTGCTCATTTCGAGAACTGCTAAGCAGCGGAAACTGTCTGATAAGAGAATTTCACAAAAGTTGCTCATTTTAATCGAGAAACTTTTGTCTAGTTTGATTGCTAAGAACTAAGAACTTAGAGCAGTTCGCTTGTCAATGTGTGGCAGTCCTGACTTGTGGACAGTTGAGGTCTTGTTTTATCTTTTATTGAGGCCTGGTTGTTCGGAAAATTGACAAATAATGATAGCAACAAGAAGTTGATGCTGGTGCAAACTTATTCTAATTATAAAGTTTTCAGGCGCAAATAGTTGGCGACTGTCTAAATATGTTTGAATATTTATGCAGATATATAATTGATAGCAGCTGTGACAAAAGTTAAATAACTTCAAAGAAGTAAAATGGTTAAGGCAAATTTGATATCATTGGTTACATTTACTGTGTAATCCAGTAGGAACTAGCAGCCCACCAATAAGAATTCCTTATTATTAAATCCTTTCCAATTATGTTTTCAGCCTGAAATTATGCCACAAAATGTTAACTATCCTTTAAGGTTCTCAGTTGTGTGCACAAATATTATGGGCATAAATATTATGGCAAGTAAATATTAAACTTCTTCAAACAGCTCATATTTAATTTAATTGCTGTGAGTGCAAAGAATGGGACATAAACCCTTGTTCGATATTAAAAAGCCTTGAGTGCGTGCCATAAATAAAAGTGCACAGTCCGCCAAGCGAATAAAAAAAGGAAATGCAAAAATTTCACCAGCCTTTACTCTGAGTTGAACGAAGTTGTGAGCAGTTGGAGGACCCACCTGTTTCGAACCAAAAATATGCATATAATCCTGATGTGAATTTAATTAATGTGAAAAATAAACACTCCTGCACATGCACGTACTTCAACTTTTTGCAATTTTTCCATCCAATAAATTTGTTTTAAGGTCCTTGTCGGTAGTGAAAATTAAAGATGAAATGGCGATAAACATTGTTGCACTCTGGGCGCAGTGCATCGAACAAAAATGGACTCGCTCCGGGCATTAAGGGCTTTATTTAATGGCTACACCCACCGCCGATTTTCCCTCGCCTTCAACTCCATGTAATATGTATTTAATGTTTGCTCTCCTCTTTTAACCGCAGGTATGCGCACTATCCAAACGCGCCGTGATACTGCAATCCTCGGATATCCTCGCCTATAATGAGCTCCCACTCCACCAGTCCAACAGTCTTAATGGCAATGGCAATGGCAACGGCGGCAACAATGTGGGCGGCATTACGGCCATGGCCTCCAAGTCGTCTGCCCCGCAGAATATCATCGCCAATGCCGGGCTGAGCTACGAGGATGTGCTGAACGATGATTTCCAGTTCGACATGGATGGCCACGACGTGATGGTCTTCCTGCACATCCAAAAGACGGGCGGCACCTCGTTTGGCCGCCATTTGGTCAGGGATCTGGACCTGAAGGTGAGTTAGCTACTTTCTGTATATATATCCCTGATTGAAGCCTAGATACAATGGTAATTGATATACTTTCTGTTCACTTTCAGCGTCCCTGCGAGTGCCAGCGGCAGAGGAAGCGCTGCTACTGCTTCCGGCCGCATCGCAACGAGAACTGGCTCTTCTCCCGCTACTCGACGGGCTGGAAGTGCGGCCTGCATGCCGACTGGACCGAGCTGACCAGCTGCGTGGACGTGGAGCTGGACAAGAACGAGGGCGAGACGGCCAAGCGGCGCTACTTCTACATCTCGCTGCTGCGGCAGCCCATTGCCCGCTACATGTCCGAGTACCGGCATGTGCGGCGGGGAGCCACCTGGAAGGGATCGCGCCACTGGTGCCTTGGTCGCCAGGCCACCGCCGCCGAGCTGCCCGCTTGCTACAAGGGCAAGGACTGGCTGGACGTGGACCTCGACCAGTTCGCCGGCTGCGAGTCCAACCTGGCGGCCAACCGGCAGACCCGCATGCTGGCGGACCTCGCCCTCGTCGGATGCTACAACAAGTCCTCGATGCCCGCCCACGAGCGGGATCGCGTGATGCTGGCCAGCGCAAAGCGCAATCTGGCCGCCATGGCCTACTTTGGACTGACTGAATATCAAAAGGTTCGTTTTTAATCGCTAATTTTCAAGGATCAAATTGAAATGGCTTTCTTTATTTAGATGTCGCAGTACATATTTGAGGAGACCTTCAACCTGCGCTTCGCCATTCCCTTCGAGCAGCACAACACCACCATCTCGGCGACTGCTGTCCAGAATCTTCGACCCGACCAGAAGCGTCGCATCGAGAAGCTCAATGGCCTGGACATCGAGTTGTATGCCTTCGCCAAGACGTTGCTCTTTCAGCGGTAAGTTTCCGACCCCATACTGATATTTATAACACCCAGTTTAATTGGCTTATGTGCTTTGGTTATGTTTTGTGTGGATGCGCCCCTTGTTAGTTACTGTCTCGGCAAGTTTGTCTGGTCGGAAAACCCGATGTGCGGAGTCTTGGGTCCGGTTCTCCGGATCCCTTCTTGCGTAGCATCATCGGGACGTCTGGGCGAAGGTCGATGACTCAGGTCCAGGTTCTTTGTAGCGCTTTTATATCCCATGAGGGTGCGAAACCCCTTTGATCATCAGGGGCCAAACGCGTCCTTTGTAGCCGTCATTTTGTGCTGTGTTGACATTGGTTCTGGCAAAGGACATGGTGTGGAAGGAAGGGAGAATGGATCCCATGGAAAAATCATCATTAGATCGCGTTGCTCCTTAACGCACTCAATGCACAGCGGTTATGCATGAGCAGGCATGGGAAAATTGTGTTGAAGGTGTCTCATCGCAGCGAAATTGTCATTAACATCATTTATATTACTTTGGGTTAGCTCCATTAAAGGATCAGCTAATTGTGAAAACCTTTTTTCGTTTTCAGTTAAAAAGAGTTACGAAAGAGGTGCCTTTCTTTAAGTATTTAAAAACTTCGGGGGATTTATTCTTTTCTTTTTCTATAAAACTAGGAAAAAGGTTAATTATTATAGATGTAATAATAAGTGTAATGTTCTTTGCATCCAAAGGATATCCTCTGTCTTGATTTCGAAGGAATAAATCTTTTCTCCTTTTTTCTGGCACAGCTGTGTGTGGTTGACCCACCCAGAATTTCATGTCTGCCTGCTTTAACCTAAAATTATCGCCTCCCTAGTTGCAAGAATCTTCCGGCCATTGTTTGCCATCAGAGGAATAACCAGCTGAGCAGTTGGCAGTTGTGACAATCTTACTGGAGAGAGAAAGAGGGAGAAAATGGCATAGGAAACAGGCAGCTACCGCAGGATCAGCAGGATATCATGAGGGTCTCTCGTCAGATTAGCGTTGGCCGATTGCCCAACTCTCTAAAGTGATCACAGAGGAAATCAATTTCCATTTTCCATGCAACTCAATTCGCCTCAATTCAGTTTCCGACACATTTCCTTCTAATTATGCGGGCATCGGATTTCGTATCAAATTATCAACTTATGCTGGTTGCCAGCTGTGTTGGAGCCACCGGGTAGTGTAGCCCATCAAGTCCTATCCTTGTACTCGTAGTCGCGATCCTCGAAAGCAATCGCATTTGTAGCCGCCGAAGGGAGGGAGAACTCCAGACAGATGTGAGTGTGTCTCTGCTCGTTCGCCACGGCACATTTCTTCCTATATCTGAGTCAGGGAATGCGGAACCCCGTCGTCCTATGGCCTATATACTCCCCTACCCTTCTTCCCACCTTCCTACCACCACTCCGAGTTTGAACCCTCCTCGTGCTGTCTTAAGCTACAATTGCAACATTTGCGCGCGCTAAAATGAAAACATTTTCTTTACGTATACGAAGCCGACGTCTTGACAAACACACAGAGATATGACGACAAGGGATATGGAATTATGGCACGAACTACCACCAAAACAAGCTCATATAAACGCATTTTACTTGAGTTAATTCGACTGAGGAACACCCTTTTAAATTATATATTTATTGTAAAAAATAACAAATATGGAAAATTAAAAATATTAAAATACTTCAATTAACCAAATAAATTGTGTAAATGGGATTTACTTTAAATAACAATTTTGGGCCTTAAACAAACACTTAAATGAAAAATTGGAAAACTCATTCTCTGGAAATGGTTAAACCAAATATTAATTTACTTGAGGAGTGAAGATCTTATTTTTGTTGGTTATTGTAACAAGACCAGAAAATTTACAAATTTATAATTTTAGATCATGCTCATATCCAAAGTGTTTTATACTTTATTCAAAATATCAATGCGAAAGTGTAGGACTTGTTTACATAAATATTATATTAATTAATTTAGCTTTTTAAGAGCACTCTATGACTCAATTTAAATGCAGTAATTAGTTTTTTTTCAATATTTTCTGACCAAATATAGTGATTTTGCATTTGCTTATAGTTCTCGGAAATACCCAACCTGATTTAGGGTATACCTATACCGCATAAAGGTGAGACGGCATAGGATCGTTGCAGCGACCCTTGCTCGAGGGTTGTTTTCTTCGCTTCCCGCTCGCCCCATCTCGTTCACACACTCTGTCCATCCCGCTCCCTCTCGCTGCGCCAGCTGGACGCGGTGTCTGCCTCGGGGATCTTGGTCGGAAGGTGAGCTCAGTTAGGTTTTGACAGCGGAACGCGTAGGTACAGCGAAACGGGTAGCAACGGGAAAGCGGGTTTAGTGTAGAACAGAACAGACCACAAAGTACAGAACAAATTTAAAACGAACTACAGACGATTTGTTAAACAGTTTACCTGAAAAAAAGACGAAAAAGAAAACCAAACCAAAAGTTAAAGTTGTGTTTATGTTTGATCGTTGAGTTATTGTTATTGCAAAGTTAAACGAGCGTTATTTATGAGACATTGAGACGAAATCCAAAGAAATCCTACCAAAGTTAAGCGAAAAAGCCCACCACCAAAAGAAAACATAAGTTCGAAAATGTCGTTCTCCAAGGCCAAATTGAAGCGTTTCAATGACGTGGATGTGGCCATCTGCGGCTCGCCAGCAGCCTCCAATAGCTCGGCTGGTTCGGCGGGCAGTGCCACGCCCACAGCGTCGACGACAGCCGCTGCTGCTGCTGCTCCTGCTCCGCCCACTGTTCAGCCGGAACGCAAGGAGCAGATCGAGAAGTTCTTCAAGGACGCCGTGCGCTTTGCGTCCAGCTCGAAGGAGGCCAAGGAGTTTGCCATTCCCAAGGAGGACAAGAAGTCGAAGGGACTGCGCCTCTTCCGCACTCCCTCACTGCCGCAGCGTCTGCGTTTCCGTCCGGCGCCCAGTCACACGGATGCGGGTGCCAGCGGCAGCGGAAGTGGTGCCTCCACGGCCGCCTCAACGCCGCTCCATTCGGCGGCCACCACGCCCGTGAAAGAGGCCAAGTCCGCCAGCCGTCTCAAGGGCAAAGAGGCCCTGCAGTACGAGATCCGGCACAAGAACGAGCTGATCGAGAGCCAGTTGAGCCAGCTGGACGTGCTGCGTCGCCACGTGGAGCAGCTGAAGGAAGCGGAGGCCAAGCTGCGAGAGGAGCATGAGTTGGCCACGGCCAAAACGGATCAGCTCATCGAGGCTCTGACCAGCGAAAACCACTCGCACAAGGCCCTCAACGAGCAGATGGGTCGGGAGCAGGCCGATCTCCTCGAGCGTTTGGCTGCCATGGAACAGCAGTTGCAGCAGCAGCGCGAGGAGCACGAAAGCCAGGTGGAGCAGCTGGTGGCCGAGAGCGAGGCCCTGCGACTAGCCAATGAGCTGCTGCAGACGGCCAACGAGGAGCGTCAGGTGGCGGAGCAGCAGCTGCAGGCCCAACTCACTGCCCTCCAGGCGGATGTGGCCCAGGCCCGCGAGCACTGCAGTCTGGAGCAGGCCAAGACGGCCCAGAATATCGAGTTGGTGGAGAATCTGCAGCGGAACAATGCCTCGCTGCTGGCCGATGTGGTCCAGCTGAAGCAGCAGATCGAACAGGATGCCCTGGCCTACGGGCAGGAGGCCAAGAGCTGTCAGGCGGAGCTGGAGTGCCTGAAGGTGGAGCGCAACACGCTGAAGAACGACCTGGCCAACAAGTGCACCCTCATCCGGTCGCTGCAGGACGAGCTGCTGGACAAGAACTGCGAGATCGACGCCCACTGCGACACCATACGGCAGCTGTGCCGCGAGCAGGCGCGCCACACGGAGCAGCAGCAGGCGGTGGCCAAGGTGCAGCAGCAGGTGGAGAGCGACCTCGAGGGCGCCGTGGAGCGCGAGAAGAGCTACTGGCGCGCCGAGCTGGACAAGCGCCAGAAGCTGGCCGAGAACGAGCTGATCAAGATCGAGCTGGAGAAGCAGGACGTGATGGTGCTGCTGGAGACCACCAACGACATGCTGCGCCTGCGCGACGAGAAGCTGCAGAAGTGCGAGGAGCAGCTGCGCAACGGCATCGACTACTACATCCAGCTGAGCGATGCGCTGCAGCAGCAGCTGGTGCAGCTCAAGCAGGACATGGCCAAGACGATCACCGAGAAGTACAACTACCAGCTGACGCTGACCAACACGCGCGCCACCGTCAACATCCTGATGGAGCGGCTCAAGAAGTCGGACGCAGACGTGGAGCAGTTCCGGGCGGAGCTGGAGTCGGTGCAGCTGGCCAAGGGGGCGCTGGAGCAGAGCTACCTGGGCCTGCAGGCGGACGCGGAGCAGCTGCGCCTGCAGCTCAACGAGAGCCAGGAGGCGCTCTCCGCGCTGAGGTCCTCGTCGCAGACGCTGCAGAGCGAGGTATCGTTGAAGGAGTCCTTGCTCCACGAACTGCTCGCCGGCGAGGCGGAGACGTTGGCCAAATTCAATCAGATTGCTAACTCGTTCCAGGAGCGCATCGACGGCGACGCACAGCTGGCCCACTACCACGAGTTGCGGCGCAAGGACGAGACGCGCGAGGCCTACATGGTGGACATGAAGAAGGCGCTCGATGAGTTCGCAACCGTGCTGCAGTTCGCCCAGTTGGAGCTGGACAACAAGGAACAGATGCTGGTGAAGGTGCGCGAGGAGTGCGAGCAGCTGAAGCTGGAGAACATTGCCCTCAAGTCCAAGCAGCCGGCATCCGCCGCCTCGCTGCTTGGCACTCCTGGCAAGGCCAACCGGTCGAACACCACCGATCTGGAGAAGATCGAGGATCTGCTGGGCGACACGGAGCTGCGTTCCGACTGCGACAAGATCACCTCGTGGCTGCTCAACACCTCGGAGAAGTGCACTGTGCGCCAGGACAGCAGCAGCGAGATCAGCGAGCTCCTGCTCGCCGGAAAATCCTCGCCGCGTCCCACCCCCCGCACGCCCAAGGCCGCGCCCAGTCCGCGCACGCCCCGCACCCCGCGCACCCCCGATCGGCGGCCAGCACGCCCAAGAAGACCGTCCTGTTCGCCGGCAAGGAGAACGTGCCCAGTCCGCCCCAGAAGCAGGTGCTCAAGGCACGCAACATCTAGGTCTCGGACGATCCCTTGTACCAACTACTATACTATACTATTATAAATTACATACCTTAGCTAAGATCTGATTCGAAATATATTCAATACGCTCACGTTGCGCACACAACGCAGCCAGAGCAGAGGTGTTTCTGAACTCCGACTAAATTCCAAATCTTCTCGACTTTCATCTTTTGTGTTGATTCGGGAAATCTGATATGTTTGAGGTGTTGTAAAAGTTGCAACATCCTTTCTTTCATTCAAATATCATTTGTGAATTTCACAGAAATTTGATATTTATAGCCTGTTTACAAAGAACTCAGTGAAAACTCGATCGGTTGTTCTTAATTCCCTCTTATTCCCTAAAGAAATTTGATATAAATAAACACCAAATGATTTGTACTTATCAATTTTATTATAAATTTATTCATGTTAAATTTCGTCAAATAATAAAAGTTATTCTTCGAAAATAGGTCATGTTTGAAACTTAAAGTGTACAGTTTCATCAGGATTAAAACCAAACTTTATTTTTGAATTTGAAGACTGTACCCGAACAATGGGGAAATTGCTAACGATTTTCTTGACAACCCTGTGGGGAACTCGTTTTGATTTCGATCCTCGACTGTGATGGAATTTTCTCAGGCTGAACCTCCTCCAGGGAAGGCAGCCATGCAATCCGATGGGTTCTTCTTGTGACGCTGATTACGAACACGTGTCCCTCGGCAACGCCTTATCCCCCTGGCTATTCGATGGGAACGAATTTGCCTGCTCAGTTCCTTGGTTCCTCGAGCGAAACGGAACAGCTGCGGCTGCGACTGCGCCTGCGCTTCCTCCTCAGGGGTGGTTTAACCCAACCGTCTTGGGTTAAGGTAGAAAACGAGGAGAAATACCCATGCACCATCCACCATCCACCACTGACGGACAACAAGCTTGCTTCATTAATTGTGACTTAAGCCTGTTGACGGGGTTTTCCCTTCACCTTTTTTTGTTTTTCCGCTCCTTTTGCTTCCCCTTAAAAATCTGTGGCCTTTTGTCTTGTGCCGCATAATGGCCGCCTATGACCTTTGACATTTTCTGCAATGCTCGTAATGCTCACAATGCCCCGGGCAAGGTAAGTGAAGACTTGCCCAAGACGTGGATTTATTCATTGTGCATACAGCTGTACCTTGGACAGCTGCACCAACAATTGAGGGTTCCTTTTTTATAGTGGGGTGCAGCACACATAAGGAAACATTCTATTGCGCAGAAGTAAATTGAGCAGCTTTTGTAGGATAGAAAACGACAATGCAGAGGGTCGGGTGGAAAAATGGCAAAAGGAAAACGGAAGGGAAATGCCAACACAAGTTGAACCGTAAATCCCAGAAGAAAGTAGATTACGCATTCAGACAGACGGTGATTAAGGTATTCGCCTACCTGAGTTAATAAGCGGAAGAGCTAGAATGTTCAACAAATTACAAGGGATCTTCCATGAAAATTTGCATTTTATTGTTTCACAAGAGTATACATTTTAAGTCTGGATTTTAATGGCCAAAGATAATACACAAAATTAATTATTATATGTTATTCTTACATCTGTTTATATTTTCCTTTATTATGGTACTAAATTTGGTATATTTCATGGAGTTACTCCTTGCATCATAAACAAATATTTAAAATATACCTAAAATCCTCTTTTGATTGCATTTCTCCTTGCAGTTTCGAACACCTGAAGGCAAAGGACACAAACTTTGAGCAGCGCTATGCCAACCTGGGCAACATCTACTTCAAGCAGGGCGTCACGGAATTCAACTGGGACAGCAATGTGGAGGATGGGCTCAGCACGGATCATTGAACTCCAAACCAAATATTACCGATTAGAAACTAGCTGTAGGACACACCAACTCATTAATATGTAGGTGGACAAGGCAGAATATAGGATAGAGAGGTGGTCACTGAGGTTGCCACCACAACGCAGAAGCATCAGCATGAAAATCAACCGAAGGACTTTAAACTAGCGTCTAAGCATAATGTTAATTAAGCAGATAAAAAACATCTAGCGGACTTGGCTTGTTTCACTCATAAGTAACATAACAAAAGGGCATATGAGCGAAATCTCAGAGCGCGTATTGTCTCTAAACCTTATCCTAAGCACAACTATAATAACTTTGAACATAAATGTACTCCTTCCTGATACGTCGCAATCCGAAAATCTTTGGAAATGTAAATACTTTGCATAATATGTGTATTTTATAAACGCGAAATCTCTTTCAAAACCTTGTGAGGAGCGAGCACACTCGAATTCAATTTTCACCTTCACAGCGCACCCACACCACATCGCCATAAATTAGATTAATTAATTAGTTTTTAACACGTAGCCTTTCGTTTATTGTTACGCCAAGTCTCTGCAAAGCCAAATCCACACTTAATCTAAGTGCATAGTGCTTGGAAAATGTTTTCGATCCTACATCGCATTTATTTTATTTAACTACTTGGACATCACTGTAAATACTGCAGAATAAAGTTACAAACAAACATATTAAATAGGAGAGTGCAAATGTTTGTCTTATTATTTTCGCCAGTCAAAGTGAACAAATGTAGAGTTGTTAGCAGGCATCATTATTTCAGACAATAATTAATTGGACATTGATACCAAGCGAAAATGGAAAATTCGATCAAACAAAGCCAACGAATACACACAAAGCCAATTGCCTAAATCATTGACGAGCATTAATACATTGCCCAAAACAAAATTAATGTAAAATATTTAAAATATTGATTAATAGCATAATAATCTATGAGGCATGTTCCATTTTATATAGCAACCATAATTGAACAATTTTAATTGTATTTTCATGATTTTGAAAAAAAAAACACAATTTTGTAGCAAGCAAACACACATTGAGAATAACAAAGAACAAAGCAAACACAAAAGAGTAAAGCAGGTAAAATTGAATAAAACAAATGAATTATTGAAAATACAATAGCATCCATTATTTATTTCTGTTTCTGGTCACCAAAAGGCAGTGAGTGGGAAACAGAAACTTAAGCGTGGGTTTTTTTTTTATTTTTCTTAGCCAAAAAAAATATTAAAAAAAAAAAATTACTGTTTTTATGCCCGTCATATTTCATAAAAATTAAAGTATTTCTTTTGGGGTATACAATAAAAACAAAAAAAGGTTGCATTGGTTTGGGGGCACTAAACTTCGGTTTTTGTAGAGGGCTTTTAGGGATGCAAATAAATATATATTCTATAATTGTAGTTTCTTAATAATTTTCTAAAATTTCCTCCAAACACAAAAACGTTAGTCACAAGTTATTTAAAATTAAAATCAACAAAACATGGTTTGGCAATAATCAAGTTGGTTAGGAAGGTTTTAATGGCCTAACAAAATAATGGAAAATTTATTTTGTCCATTTTAAAGACAATAAATATTTATTAGGCACTAAATTGATCTACCTCATTTCTCAACATCCCTACGTCATAGATGTTATAAATGCGAGGAAAACAAACCTAATAATAAGACATCACCCAGACGTAGCACAAAATCGCCGACTAATTTGCACCAATTTGAGGGAACAACTAAACGGAAGAGCAAACATCGTTTTCCCTCCCGTCAAATCGAAGTCCATGGGATAGGATCGATGAAAAATTAGCAAACTCAGTGCGCATACGTACGCCAAGGTGTAAGCTCGGTCGGTAAGCTCGGATACGGATATGCCGGAATCGCAGTCAACGGGTAGCTATCCGGGCAAGTCCTCCCCCGGATTGGATGTTGTGGAGCAGGTGAACGGCAGCTTTGGACGCTGGCAGCTGCGCACCATCCTGCTGATATTCCTCTGCAAGATTCCCAGCGCGTGGTTCACGGCCATCATCATCTACACGGCTCCGTATCCCTGGAAGGGGGAGCTCGTCTGCCGCCCCGCCGAATGGAATGTCAGCCGGTCGCGTGAGGATCATGTCAGCCAGAACCATCCGCTCTGGCAGGATGCGCGCAGCACGGATCGCTTGTTCAACGTGGACGTGTGCAATGCCTATTCAAACTCCCTGGCCCGCGGATTCGTGCGCAGCCATGGCCGGGAGTGGAACGCCTCGGAGTCGAAGGAGCCGGATGCTCAATCTACGCTGCCCTGCAAGCACGTGGAGCACATGACCGACTACAGGTCCCTGATCATCCAGTTCGATCTCATCTGCTCCCGTCGCGTTCTGGTGGCGATGACGCAATCTTTTCATGCTCTTGGTGCCCTGATTGGCGGTCTGATGGCCTATTCCGCCCTCAAAATGTTTGTGTTTGTTTAAAATATTCTTCTTATCTCAGTATGTTAATTATGGCTTTTATTCCTCAGAATCAGTCCGCGACGCTTGATGTTGCTGGGCATGATTGGCCAGATATTTTGCGGAAACCTTACTGGATTGGTAGACACCTACCAGTTGCACATCTACTTCCGCTGCCTTACCTCCATATTTTGTGCTCTTATGTATACTTCCGGACAGTTTATATGTGAGTATAGTAGACATTTGATCTGTTAGCTCAAAGGTTAAGCTATAATTTAAAATTTAAATTTTCAATTATTTACATATAAATTAGCTTGGCAAGGCAAAGATAAAGCTATTTATGGTTTTTATATTTGTAGGAATAAAATATTTGTATGCATTTATTTGAATACTGAAATGCTAAGTTTTATTTTTTTTACCTAGCTCACCATTCAAATCAAAAGACCCAAGACACGAACTAATTTCTGTTTCTCACTTTAGTAAACGACATCACCTCGGGCAAGGCTCGCATCATTGTGGTCACTCTATCGGAATTGTTCTGGTCCATGGGTCTCGTCTTGCTGCCAGCCATATCTATATATTTCGACGACTGGAGCTACCTGTACGTGGCCATCTCATCTTCCCTCATTGTGCTAGTTTGGCTGCATCGTTGGATAGCGGATGCTCCTCGCTGGCTGCTGCAACATCAGCGAGTGGAGGCTGCGCTGCGTCAGCTGCTGGAATCGGCCACGTACAACAACCGGAAGGTGCCGCTCACCCTCGACGTTCAACTCACGGTGTACGCCAATGATCTGGAGCAAAGGGCCAGGCAGAAGCAGGGCTACTGCCAAATCTGGGATGGCGAGACGAAACGCAGCCAGCTGGTGTACATCCACTGGATATGGGGCGGAGCTATGGTGATCTACAACATCACCCTGCTGATGATCCGAAATCTAGGCACTCAACAAGTGCATGTGAACACTGCGGCCTTGGGATTTGCCGAGATGATTGGCGTTTTTGTGGGTCTCTATCTGATTCTATACACACGTCGCCACTGGCGCTGGGCAGGAAATCTAATGATTATAGCAGGTCTCAGCACATATTTCATCTGGCTGCTGCCCGAAACCGGTGAGCATTATTTGAATACCAAAATTGTCTTATTTTAAAGAGATATATTTCCTATAGAACGAAATTCGCGTCGCGTGGGACTGGAGCTGGTGTTTTGGCTCATCCTAAAAGTGGCAAACTCCGCCTCGATAGCTGTGCTGACCACCTGCACAAGTGAGATTGTGTCCAACGAAAAGCGCGTATTCCTGCTGCTGTCCGTGATCTCATTCAGTCGCCTGTGCTTGGTCTTTAGCCCGCTGCTCAGCTGCCTCACTGTCATCCATTACTTGGTGCCCATCACCATCCTGGGCACAGTTGGCTGGATTTATGGCCTCGCACTGCGTCGCCTCAATCGCTACTATTGGAACACGGAGCAGCCGCAGATAAGCCGGGTGCCCACACCCAACACCTATCGTCGCCAGTCGGCCATCATAATGCGCCGCTGCAGCACGGCCAGCTCGGAATGCAGTGCCTACAGCAATGAGCTCTTGGACCACTTTGAGCGGAACATGGCTGTTAGTATAGCCGACATTTGGCACATTAATTTTCATCCTTCGAGTGAGATCGAAATGGAAATGGAGCAGCATAGCCCGGAAGCTCTCAGATCGCACAGCTCGGAAACCATTTGAAGAGCTTTTTTTGCTGCCGGAAAGTAGGCTTGGCGAAATAAAAGAATCTATGTACATCCACTATAGTAAGACTTATTGTCATTAAATTGCTTTAAAATAAATTCAATTAATTAAAATGAAAACATGTTACACGCATAGGAAAATGAAGTATTTAAGAAGACCAGAAAAGAAACACACCCACTTTTATGGGTATAGAAAACAGCATTAAAAGATGTTTTCAGATTCATTTGACTAATGAATTTCGCCACAAAATCAAAGGCTTTCTTAAGACTAACCCGTATCCACCAAAATTAGAGCATTCAACGTCATATATCGCTAATTAAATTATATATTTTCATTTTTATTTGAGTCTGTATTATGGTCTTAATTAGCAAACGGTGCGTTACCAATTATATAAAATTAAACTAATTAAATAATTAAATTTATGATAATTAACTGATGACGGAGTTTACATCCTGAAGTTAGGAAAACTCTATTTTGTGACATTAAGAGTGAAGATTGTGTACGAAATTAATGTAGGTCAATGCATCAATTGAAGAACACCACAATCGATGTGTCACTAAGAGAGCTAAAAAAAATCGACTGAGACAATAAAGATTAAAATAGAAATTCGCAAGGAAGGCGAAGAAGAATTTGTACAAGCCCAAAAGGCAAGCGCTGATAGCGTAAAGTAATAATGTTATGGCTTCCAAGCTATAAACACCCTTGTTGGATACCCCCGCTCACCTGAGCGCCCAAGATAATGCACACTTGATAGGGGTAAACTCGAACGAAAACTAATAAATTAAAGAGCATTGAAAGACACTCTATCGATCCGTCAACTATTCAATAAAAGAAAATATTTAATGGGCAAATAAACGGAATATGACTCAATCCTTAAACAAAATCAATTCTGTTTTGACTGAACCAAATAAATTATGAACTCTTAAAAGGCAAAAACTAAAGGGAAAATGCCTAAATAACTCAGTCGCTTAATAACTTTTTATTATTTAAGCAAATTCATTAAGAAAATTAACGCTTCGAGCATTCGAGTGCCAGAGTTAGCCGACTGTCTATAGACCCCACTGCGACATTGGCGTCAGTTGCCATTTGATTCTCGGCCGATTGAGACGCGAGTGCTCCAAGAAGAAAATCGGGCCGGGACGTGCGAATTGGAAAGCTGCCTTTTACGAACGGACCAGCAGAAACCCAAACGCGTGCATAATTTTTATTGCCGCTTAATTAATTTATATTTATTTGTATGCAATCAAATGAACAAACAGCGAAGCGACGTCGCGAGTTATAAACTGTGTTGTGAATGAAAGAATAATTAACGGAAATATTTGGCTGTTTGTGGTTTTGAAATAGTGATCGTGGAAAAAAGTATAAGTGATCTTTTGCTGGATTTAGGTCGGTTGATTTTTTAATATTAATTAAAAATATCAAATATCAATTGATTACCTTAGGAAAGTCCATCATTAACTTGCGGTTTTATATGATTGAATAAAATACTCTACAACCCACTTAATCATACTTCTGTCCAAAACTCGGGCATTCCATTAACTTGATACGAGTACGCCTTTCCAGTGGCTCAGTGGTTCCGCCCCATAAGCAGTTATTAATTTGCATTTGAGTTCGAAACAAGTCGTTCAACTATAAGCTCGACCTGCCGTCACTGTCATTGCCTAGATCTATATCACATATTGAATAGGAAACTCAAATATTCAGCACCGGCACGACCAGTTTTCTGCAATTAGCACTGCCTGGAAAATTAGAAATTAAAATATTTGCGCTACCAATAGGTGGACAGACAGATGTTCCGTGGTAGCCGTACAATAGAAAATTAGCACCTGTGAAATTAAAGCATAAAGAGTCTGTCAATACAGACGATCCAACAAAAGCGGTGACAAGTGAATCTTTCGCAAGTTAACAACTAAATCTTATGACTGCAAATCTTTCGCCATGTTTGTCCTCGGAAAATAAGGGCTAACAATCAGATAAAGACATAAAGCGAGATAGAAGTCATTATCTGTCTATAATCAACCTCCTTCTGTCTTATCGATAAGACTTTAATCATTGTAGGGCGTGATTTGTGATATGATATCAGTGGAAAGTGTATTAAACTTATTCATGAATGAAGTTAAATTAAGAGATAACAGAGTTAATAAAGATAACTCAATTTAGGTTCATAACTAAACATAAAGATAAATGTGACTGTTTTGTTTTGCATCTAATTGAACAGAGCAAAAAGGTGTTACGAGCTAAAGTTTTCCTATTTTTATTTCCTATAATTTATTTCTTTTTGTTCCATGTGTTTTAATGACATTCACTTGTCGATGTAATAACGAAAGTCAATCAATCAATAGTAACCGCAGATAGTTCAAGAATCTAGAGTGATATTCAATGCCTTTGATCGACTGATTTCAGCTGTAAACCGCTTTCAATTTATATCAATAAGGCGGCAGCGAGTGAAATAAAGGAAATAAAAGCAAACAATTCATCCCATTCATTGTTTCCCACTCATCTTTCTAGAATGTTCCATTAGAGAGGCGCCACTGGAGCCATGGTCAACCGTTCGCCAGCCCGAGGTGGAGAATCCACTGTCCCTCACATTATCCCCAATGAGATGGAGAACGAACTGGACAGGAGGATGGTATCAGCACCACCTGCAGCACCTGCGAGTAGCGATGTCATCGGGGATGTCGTGGGCGACTTTGGCATCTGGCAGCTGAGAACCATCCTCATCATCTTCCTGTGCAAGATCCCCGCCGCCTGGTTCATGGCATGCATCATCTTCACCGGACCGGAGCTCTATCCCGGCTCGGAGTTCGCCTGCGACACCAGCTATCTGGTTACCAGCAGTAACTCCAGCTTCAGTGTTTCGGACAACCAGTGTTATGTCCTGGAGGAATCATCTGGAGTTAGAAGCGAGTGCCAGCAGTTCACCTACGACTCCAGCTTCGACTCCCTGATCATGCAGTTCAACCTGGTCTGCCTGCGGGACATTTTCGTGGCCTGGACTCAGTACTGGCATCTGTTTGGGGTGCTCGTGGGCGGCGTCATCGGCACCAAGATGATGCTGGCCATCAGTCCGAGGAGCACTTATTGCGTGGGCGCCATTGCCCAGATCGGGTGCGGAGTGGTCACTGGATACGCCAGGGATTTCAGCCTGCACTGCGCATTCCGCTGCCTCTCCGCCGTCTGCTGTGCGATCATGTTCACAGCTGGTCAGGCAATATGTAAGTTCACTCATGATTAGCAGGAATATTGATGGTTAAACAACTAGGTTTGCAGTTGCCGACATCACGGCGGGAATGCATCGCATTGGTGCCATCATTCTGTACGACACCTTCTGGTCCATTGGAGTCATCCTGCTGCCCGGCCTCTCCTCGTTCTTCAACAACTGGTCGCTGATCTATGTGGGGATCACGTTCCCCACTGTCATGCTGATAGTGCTGCTCTACTGGACCCCGGACTCGCCCCGCTGGCTGCTCCGGCATGCCGTGGATCGATTCTCGATCGACCACGTGGAAGAGATGGTGCGCGAAGGAGCAGCGATCAATGACCGCACATTCAAGATCCCTCCGGACTTTCGACTTCAGTTGGAGCAGCTGAGTGAGCGGCTGAAGGCTCAACCTCCACCCGCACCCTGGCGGGAATTGTGGAAGGGAAAGCGTGCCAAGACACACATGGTGGCCTCCCACCTGGCACTGGCGTTCTTCGTGATCAACTTCATGGGCATGCTGCTCAACATACGGTCGTTCGGAAGGAACTATCTGGTGCCAAACACCATCGCTATGGGTGAGTACTCACTCTGGAAACCATTTCTCTGTTAAGGATATGAGCATATAAGTAAATAAGCTATACAACAAAAACATCTTTTAACCAGGTAAAAATTTCATTGTACATTTCTGATGTCAAATTTTGTGACGAGTTAGTAAATAACCATTTAAAATGTTCCCATTCGACACGTTGCATTAAAAAAATGCCTCAAAACTGGTAAAGCTAAGCCCATAACTTTTCTTGCATGTATCTGTTTTAGAAGTGGTATATCATTCAAGTCTTGTGGCTTTAGTCTCTAAAAATCTGCATTTAAAAATTGGTATTTAATATCGGGTCGATTTTTTGTAATTTTTATGATGTAACCCCTTTCTAAATTTCCGAAAAATAACTTTGCAGAAAAGTGGCCAGAAAGCTCCAAATCTTACTCTATAACTTTTCCTATAGACACCCGATTTCGAAGTGGCATATCTTTAAAGTCTTGTGGCTTTAGTCTCCAAAAATCTGCATTTAAAAATTGGTTTGAAATATTGGGTCGATTTTTTGTTATTTTGATGATGCCTTTCTTAAGTTCTGAAAAATGCCTTTGCTGAAAAGTTAACAAGAACCTGCATTTTTAAGTCCATAACATTTCTTACAGAAATCAGATTTTGATAAGGAATATCTTTAAGGTCTTGTAACTTAAGTCTCTTAGAATCTACGTTTAAATCTTATTTTGTAACTTCGGTCTGATTTTTTGTTGGTTTTATCATTTAACCCCGCGTATTCATATATAAATTTTAATCTTTACGCCTTAGGCTTTTCGGAGATCATTGGATGCTTCCTGGCGCTTCACTTTACCCTCAAGCACAACAAATGGAAGTGGCAATGTGCTGGGGTCTTTAATATATTAGCCGGAATCCTGGGCTGCATGGGCTGGATCTTCACGAATGCTGACTCGAGTAAGTTGTTCTTAATGACTATGTAAGCTATTCAGTTATTTGCCATTGCTCCTCCCCAGTGGATGCTGATCTGAAAGTCAGCCTGTGGATGATCATCGCCACCATCCCGAAGGCGGCTGTCTCGTGTGCCCAGTCCATGATCCTGGCCTGCATGAACGAGCTGATGCCGGCGAACAAGAAGCAGCTCTTCGTCTTTTCCGTGGTCACCTGGGCCCGGGTATGGCTCCTCTCGGCCCCGTTCTTCAATGTCCTGAGGAAGATCGACACGGCCATGTCGTTGACCTCGTACTGTGTGTTCAGCATCTTGGGCGGAATCTGCACCACCCTGCTCCTCACGCCCAGGACGAGTGTGGCTCCGATCGTGGCTCAGGTGGAAGCGAATGACAAGAAGGAGCAATCCCCCCTAAACGCAGCCGTTTGGACCGTCGAATCCGATGTGAACAATACTCGATTGTAGGCGGAGGGGATCGCAGTGCTTTGCCAACCAATAGCCTTTGTATTAGTCAGCTAATGAAACAACATTCTTCTGTGATTAGGTTAAGTGAACTGTTATTTAAAATGCCTGAAGTTAAACTACAGAATATTAATTGTTTTTTTAACTTTTAGACAGCTGCTTTACGGGAAAATTCTTAACAATATACTTAACTTATCTTATTTGACTTGGCATTTGACCCACTCTAATAACTGCTTTCTTAGAATTTAAATTTTAACCAAAAACCAAACTTCTACTATAATTTCCATTAGTAATTCAGTAACGAATAAGTAGCTAATTTGTGAAATAATAAAAAGTGTTTTAAGTTAGAACTTGCAAAATTTTGCCAACTTTATCGATTTTTAAATAAAAAATGTAGTACTTTACAATATTAAATATTTATAAATCTATCCGAATCAATATTCGAAAAAGCCTTGCTTTTAGTGCGCAGCTCAGTCATCAATCGACAGAATGATTCATCGCATCCTCTTCCGGTCATATTTGAAATTACCACGTGTAGACATGTTTAAATATAAGCTGCTGTCGCGTTTTAATGCAAATCGAATACCACGTGTTCAACAATTTTACAGAAAAGGCAAGCTATTATTCTGAAATGTTGATCTTTTCATATGATCTTTTTTCTGCTTATTCCTTGTTAACCTGCTTAAATGATACCTATAAGATATTTGACTAAAACATGATATACACAAGCATCATGTAGAACCACAAATGCAGGAAAATCCATAACCAGTAAATCCTGTAATTTTTAAAATAATCTATTAATATCAAGAGCGGGTTTTTATTCACCTGCATTTTACATTTTTTGGACATAGTTATTATGAAAAAATTGGGGGTACAGATAAACAGATAAATAATAAACTCACCTGGTAACCATGAACTTGTTCGAATCGACGGTGAAGTTTTCGCGGTGCAGGTATTTATTGATGCCAATCATGTGACGCCGCACATAATCATCGTAGTCCAGCTCCTCCAGATTCCAATAGAGTGTGGGATAGGTGCCATTATCAATCATTTCCTTGAAATAGAAGCGGCTTCTGTTCTTGAAGATCCATTCGTTTAGCGAAAAAAAGCTACCTAAAAGAAACTCCATGAAGGATTTAATTTAAATGAGGACATTTAAAAGAATTACCTGCCAGACATGCCTGCCGGAATTTCTTGGCAATGGGGGTGACCAGTCGCTTCTTTTGTGCCAATAGAAGGGTTCGAAGGTCCATAAGCAATGCGGGCACAAAATGAAGAAGCCACACGGCCAACTCATGCTTTAGGGCACTGCGCCGGTACTTGAAATTCGGAAACATAATCATTCGCCGTGTGGGAAAAATTCTAGACCACTTCATGGTGAGCTCGCCCAGATGCTGCCAGGTGATGGGATTGGTCACTCCCGAAGTGGCGTTACAGATGCTCAAGCTAAACAAACGAATATATAAGTTAAGAAGCTAATAGATTAAGTGAACTCACCTGCCCAACTTCGCCTTGCCGACCATCATGATCATGGCATTGACCACAAAGTCCACTGGTATGATGTCGCATATAAGATCTTTGTCACCCAGAATACTGCTAATTCCCCCCTTTCCGATCTCCATCATTATTCCGCTTATAGCCTGGATATTGTCAATCCAACCGGGATAGGGTTCTCTATAGGCAGCAGTGACTATGGATGGTCTTACGATCACAATGGGAATCACATGTCTATATGCATTCACGATCTGCTCGGCAATTGACTTGGTAAAGGTGTAGGTGTTGACATGCGGACCCTTTATATAGTCGGCCAGGCGGTTCAGATAGTCGTCGGGAATTTTCTGGGTGGCGGCCAGAAACTGACGCCAATCCACCGGCGGCATAGTGGGATACACCTGCTCGTCCACGTACTTGCGACCAGGATTGCAGTAGGCCGTGGAAACGTACAAAAAGCTCTGACAAATATAGTTTTTATAAGTAAAGCGCAGTGAATGTCATATAACAAATCTTACCCTTAATTGAGCCATCTCCTTGCAAAGCTCCAGAAGATTGTAGGTGGCCTGTGAATTGACACGAGCCGACACTTTCAGACACTCATTGAAACGCACCTGCAATTAGTATACCAAATGAGTTGAGAGGGTATTGGAGATACCCAACGCACACCTACCGTTGCTGCACTGTGGAAAATAATGTTCACCTCGGCACACAAGACGGCTCGGTCGCACTCATTTAAACCTGTTGGTGGAAGCGTCTGGTAAAAACATGAGGTTTCTTTGCAGTTTCACTGCGCCATACCAAAGTTGTCGTCCTCAATGTTGCCAGAGAAGTGAAAGATCTTCTTCAGCCTCTCTGGATGCTGCGCCCTCAGGCGCTCAAAGATGGGATTCAGGAGGAATCCCCGGAAGCGTTCCTCCACCGTGACCCCACCCTTGGGCCGAATTAGCATGTAGATGCGCTTGATCTGCGGAAAACTCCAGAGCAGCTTCTCCAGCAGTGTTTTGCCCACAAAGCCAGTGGCTCCTATTGGAGTTTATTACCTCTGATCAGTTTATTTTGGAAATAACCTCATCCTTACCCGTTATGAAGACCACAGCATCTTGGTAAATATCCGTCTGGTGGTCTACAATTTCCACTCCAGCGTTGTCCATGTTGTGGCCACTTTGAAGCCACAATTGCTACTGATCCGGTGAGGTGCCCACTTTCCACCAGCCAGCAACTGGCTTTGCAAAAGAAAATGCCTTGGTCCTCTTGAAACAAGTTTTCCATGAAAATGCAAGTGGAAATTTCAATTGGCCAACGAAAGTGGCAACTCAGACGTAACATTTGAGCACAAACAAATTACATCATATACTCGTATGTATGTGGAAGTGGACATGGCTGGGTCTTTGGTTCATGATCAACATTCGAGCTCATTCAAGAAATTCTGAGCTGCGAACTCAATTTGCAGGTTGAAAGGGGCCTTTTAAAAAAAAAAGTTGTGTGCTATTTACGTTTCCAAGTTGTTTCAAATAAAAAATACATCATTACTCTAAAAAAAATAAGATGAGGGCTTGGTTCATACTATATAACATTTAGGTATGTCGTTAAAATCGATCAAGGAATTTCCCCATCTCAAACTAGACCGCAGCTTTCGAAGAAACACGCATGCCGATGTTGTTTGCCTGGCCAATTCATTAGCTCCAATCATGACAATGGCCCGCCTTCGCGAACAGTCTCCCCGAAAAGTCATCCCCGCTCGATTTCGTTCGGATCAACAACAAAAATAGATCGCTGTTTGCCCAATCGGTTAGGAACTGTGCTCCGCATATTTTGCATTTATTGGGAATGATTTGATTAGCGACGACGTCGTAGGCAGGCACCGAAGATCACAGAGCGGAGCCCTCGAGATTAGCTGGCCAGGTGAGGTGCTAAGCGAAGTCGCAGTCATGCTGGAGGGTTTTCGCTCCCAAGACGTGCTTACTAAATTGCGCGTCGCTAACGAAGGATGAAGGATGAGAATCAATTCCAAGGCCGGAGGCCTAACAAGCCCCTGGACTTGGACTTGGACTTAGACCTCACGCACATCTTCACCTGCTCCGATCCGAAGGCCAACGAAGTGCCTCCTTTTCCAGCTGCCAAGCCACCTAAAACCACTGATCATCATCATCAAGATGATGTCATTACGCACATCCTGGGCGACTTTGGTCCCTGGCAACTGCGCTCTTTACTCATCCTGTTCCTCTGCAAGATCCCCGCCGCCTGGTTCATGGCCTGCATCCTGTTCACAGCCCCGGATCTCTATCCCGAGGATGAGTACACCTGCGACACGAGTACCTTTGGACCGGCGAGTAACTCAACCGTCTCCCTGGACCACTGCTATGTGATGGTCAACTACGGTGATTCCGGCTACGCCATGCATCAGTGCCGGAAGTTTCTCTACACCACGGGCTTCCACTCGCTGACCATGGAGTTCGACCTGGTGTGCCTGTGCGACTTCTTCGTGGCCTGGTCCCAGTACTGGCATCTCTTCGGGCTGCTCATCGGCGGAGTGGCGGCCACCAAGTTGATGCGCGTCCTGAGTCCCCGACACATTTACGGAACTGGCATCTGGTGCCTCCTCGTGTGCAGCCTGCTGATGGGCATGGTCAAGGACTTCAGTCTGCACTGCGGACTTCGTTGCTTGGCTGCCGTTTCGTGCTGCTTCATGATCACCTCGGGACATTCTATATGTGAGTAAAAGAAAAGCCAAATTTGGAAAGTCTAAGTTCAAAAAAACTTAAAAAATATAGAGCTATAATGATTTTCGCTGAATGACAGCACTTGATGATTTTTATATAATTAAAAACATCACTCTTAAATAGAAAACCATTACTATAACTCCAAGTATATTCGTATAAAATGTAATACAGCGAAGTTATACATATTTTATTTATTAAATTTTTTGCAATATTTATATATAATATTTATATATAATTTCTTTTTCAGTTAGTGACATTACGGCGGGCAAATATCGCCTGGGAGCCCAACTGCTCTACGACTGCTTCTGGGCCCTGGGCTTGATCCTGCTCCCTGGCTTGGCTCACGGAGCTCCCAGCTGGCAGCATATTTACGTGGGTGTGACCCTCTCCCTGCTGGTGATTGTCTTCCTGCTGCCCTGGACGCCGGACTCACCGCGCTGGCAGCTGCAGCACAACAAGGACACCCAACTGGGCATCGAACGGACGGTGGGAATCCTACTGGAAGCAGCCCGCACCAACGGAAGCATTCACAGGGTGACCAAGGAGTTGCCCCAGCAGTTGGGCCAGCTCAGGGAGAAGATGCAGCAGCAGATGCCGGCAGGGCATTGGATGCAACTGTGGCTGGGCCAGCGGAGGAGCAGTTTCCAGTTGGTAGCCGTGCACATGGCCCTGGCCACCTTCATGGTGGTGAACATCGGACTGCTGCTCCACGTTCGATCCTTCGGCAGGCAGCACCTGGTGTCCAATACCCTGGCCATGGGTCTGGCCGAGATGCTGGGCTGTCTGCTGTCCCTCCACCTGACCTTCAGCCAGAGCGATCGCAAGTGGCAGTGGGCAGGAGGATTTGCCATTGTGGTAGGCTGCATCGGCAGCATCTGCTGGCTGCTGGCCGAGGAGGACATGCCCGAGGTGTATGGACTGACGCTGGGACTGCTGATGGCCTCGCTGCCCCAGGCGGCCGTGGCCTGTGCCCAGTCCATGATCCTGGCCTGCCTGGGAGAGCTGGTGCCGTCGGAGCAGCGGGGCTGCCTCTCCTTTTCCGTCGTCACCTGGGCCAGGGTGTGGCAGCTGTCCGCCTCCTTTCTCACGCTGCTCAGGCAGGTGAGCCCCGCCCTCTCGCTGTCCGCCTTCTGCCTCCTGGTCATCCTGGGCGGCCTCTGCACCTGCTGTCTGGTCACTCCGCACAGGGCGGAGGGGGAATCGAAGGGGGCTGCCGTCCACAACAAACAGCAACTCACTGCGTATACGTAATAACGCATACGCAAAAGCTTATTTGCTAAGTTAATTTTAGTGTCAGTCAAGTATTCGCAATCATTATTCGAATTTAGCACATATTGAGCTGCATACCTTTGGGAATAAATCAAAAGTTAAGCATCTTACTGGTATTCGGTTATTTACCTCAATAGCTTTACTTTACTTTATCACTAAGATTAGTTTATGACCAACAATTGTAATAGAAAATCAAAATGGAAATAAATTTGACAATTTATGAGAATTTTTTTGTTGTTTTAGTATATTTTTTGTGTGAAAATGCATCTGTAAAATCTTCTTAAAAGGGTTAGCTTACGATATCTCGGAGCTAAATGGTAAGCTTATAGGAAAATTAATTATTTACTTAAATCTTTTACCTTATTTGTATTTATTAGTTTTATGAAGAAGTATTTCTCTGTTAAATCTTGAATAATTTGCAACCTACTTCATTGAAGCTTTTGCCAAACCCATTGTTTATTACAGGAATTCAGTCATTGGGGACCAATGCTAACCCCACAGCCCATTCACCCGGGCAACACATTCATCCACTAAGTTGACACACATATATATAGGTGTAATACGTATAATAAGCACACATGCCTGGCTAAATATCCAATCGCATTGCTCTACTAACAACACACTTCTATTTGGTCACCTGTCCCGCCCCCAATTCCGACCACTTTTCCATATTCCCAGCCGTTCAAAGCGACAAGCAGAAATCGCAAATCAATAAAATAGAAACCATAAAATTGCCAGAAGCGGCGCCACTGCAATTGGCCCCAGAATGAGTGTGTCATTCGCTGGGAGGCAGTTGGCGAGGAAGGACCATCCGAGGAGCAGTACTACCCTTACAAAAAACCAATCCAGTGGAGGATCCGCTGGCCAGCCACTGCGATCTGGATGCCATGAAACCGAAGAAATCCGCCTTCGCCAACACATCTACCGGATACGGCAGGCACAAGCACAGCGGGCACGGCAAAGGACACTCCCACGGCCAGGGTCACTCCGGCAAGGATAAGGCCGAAGGCGGGGGCAAGGAGAAGAAACGAGAGGCCAAGGATCAGCATGAGCAGAAGGAGGAGGACAAGGACTTGAATTCCGGCTTCGGCGACTATCTTCGCACACCGGAGGGTCTGTAAACATGTAAACTTTATTATGTAAATTATACATATATTTTCCTTTATGATTAGCATTTGAGATGATGAAACTATTCGTATTTGCCAATACTGTTATGTTAATCGTCACCATGGCCTGGCCGCATATCAAGGAGCAGTTCTACATGGTCAATCAGTGGCTAGAAAGCTTTCGGGAAGAGCATCAGTAGTAGAACAACCCAAGAAAGTTTAATTCAAGCATACAAAATGGTCGGACCCTTTATGCAGGGCCTCTTTTTAATTGGCATCATCTACTGGTACTCCAAGGGCATGATGTCCATGATCAACGACTACTATAGGAGTGAGTTCCAGCGTAAGTTGCACGTGGATCCGGCAAAGGCTAAGGCAGAGGTACCCATCAATGTGGACAACTTTATGGACTATGTCAGGGAGCTGGATTCTCCAGCTGAGGTGGCTAGGAGTCCAAGGGAAGGAGCCATAGCTACTCCCCCAAGAAAGCCTCTTAGCCACACACTCCTACGATTTCTGGAGATCACCGATGCGCTACCACATGCTTTTGATGTTTGTCTCAACACGAGCAACATAAGATAGCTTAAAACTATAATGTAACAATTTAATTTATATTTAATGTATTTTATATGACTTTCGTAAAATAAAGAATTATACTACAACCACGATTGCATACTTCTAGGTTTAAACAAAGGTGCACTTACGCGAACAAATCTTTTTCTTTTGGGCAAATTCCAAACACCTTTAATAAAATAATAAATATTTCTCCAACTTGGAGTATTCAGATTTTTTATTTAAACTTTAGCAGAATATATTCATGTTTTTCCGACATCAGCTCACTTACTAACCTATCCACAAAACTGTATAAATATACTAATTTCTATAAATACCATGGAATATATATCGAATTGGTCTGTTCTATGCATTATTCGAAATATTATATTGCACTTTCATAAGTAAGCTCCTGTCCGATTAAGATCTGGTCATTGCTAGTTATACCTTTGAAGCAGCTTGTGAAAATATAGTTATAGGCAGATATGATTGAATTGTTGGGTACTTTGTTTGGAAGTTAGCCAACTGTTGTCCTACTTAATAGGTGCTGTCTACAAATCGTCTGTATTCAGGTATTTTTTATGTGGCACAAAGCTGAAGATATTTTAAAATATCTTTTGATTTCAAGAGGTCAGTATGTGATTAATATTTGGTAATTACCAATTTCACAAGTTACACTAATCCCACCTACTCCTTAACCAATTTTTAAAAGTAACATAAAAAATAAAGATAAATTCTTTTCTGGTAAAATCAAATTCATCAATTTTTTAATGTATATTCTATATACACAACAGTTTATCATACATATGTTTATTATTAAATAAAAATAATAATAGTTGCATTACAAATTAATAAAGCAAAAATACAAAACATAGTACATCGCACATCAAATTGATGGTTCGATGTAAATGTACATGGTGATTTGAATAAATCAAATGAATACATTGGAATAAGTTCTGTACTTGCCCGAATTCAGAATGGAGCAATAGCGTTCATGCTTTAGTCGAAATCATAATTTTAATAAAAGGAAATCACAATATCTTTCGTTGGAAAAGAAACAAAATTGACTCGAGAGCAATGCAAAAAATTAAGGAAACACAAAACCTTTCTGATGTATCACAACCTTTCAAACAAGGATTAACAATTGAGAGCTCGCTTGGGCTAACAAATCAAATTTCGACAATTGAGTTATGGTGGCCTACTACACACTATATATGCATACACATAGTTAAATGGATACCGCTTGATATTGTTATATGGCTAAACACGTACAAATTAGATTGCTTATGAACAAGGCAAAAATACAAATGCAGAGGCTCTTCTCTCTATAATGCACAATGTCTCCCTACCCCAAGGATATATATATATATATATATATTACTGTGCGTTCAAGTCTTAAAGAGTAAACAGTAACACCTAATGACTCTGGCTCCGCCTCCGCCGCAAAGCTTCACTTTCCACTCTACTCCGCGGGCTTCCAGTTTGTGGGAGGTGGCGGCGCTGGCACCGTTGGCCTCTTGGGCGTTTGAAATGAGTTCGGAGAAATGGGTGTCGTGGGTTGGGGCTGCGCCTGCTGCTGGCTCTGCTCTGCAGCCGTTGGCGGCTGATCCTGGTTGTGATTGCTCTCCTTGACCGCTGGCTGCTCCTCCCGCGTTCCGTTCGTTTCACCGTTCTCCTGCCGCAACTTGTCCAGAAAATGTTCCGTTTTGATGCGCACACTGCCATTGGCATTATCGATGGTCGCCTGGGTGGGAGTCGTGCCGCCCTCGTCGTCGCTCTTGCCATCTGCTGTCTTGGGTGCTCCCACGCCCAGCACATTCGGCCGCTTGGGCAGCAGAGGCTTCTGGGGCACATCAGGCTTGAACTTGAAGCTGCCGATGCTATCCGTGCTCTTGCGATCGGCCGTCGGAGAGGGCAGATTGTCCAGCCCGAAAAACTGCGTCCTCGTCATCGGAACGGGCTTGGCGGGTGTTACTGGAGGCGGCGGTAGTGGTTCCAGCTGCGTCTGCGTCGGTTGGGTGGCGGCTGGTGATTGAAACTGCGGCAGATTCGGTAGCGGCGGCTTGACGGGCTTCTCCTGCTGCACCGGCGACTGCTGGGGGAACAGCTCCTTCGCATGGGGTCGGTGCGAGGTCTGTGATGTGGTCATACTCGTGCCGTTTCCATTGGTTGTGGGCGGCGAAGGCGCATTGGCTTTCTGCCTGCGTAAGGTCCCATAGCGAGGACTCTCCAATACTTCTAAAAAAAAAAAATTGAGGGGATCGTTAATAAATGTAATAACTTTTAGTTATTACGAACTTACTCAACTAAACCTAGTAGTTTTAATCTTAAAAATCGTTTTATACCTTCTCTGAAGCTAATACTGTTGATCTTAAGGAGGACTCTCGTAAGCACAATTGTAACTTTGTTTTAAAACTTGCTCTATTTATTAAAAAATATTTCTTTTAAATTTTTTTCTTTGAATGACTGTTGGGTGGAATCAGTTTATAAAAGCAGTTTTATTAAAATAAAATGTTCCCGAAGACAAATTTTGTTTTATTTGGATCCAATCCATTTTATTGCACAAAATAAAAACAAAAACAATGCATCATGGTATGTAAGAAAACGTTTTAAGAAATAACAGGGAAATACTAACAGAGGAATTCTCCAAAAAGTGTTTGTGAAAAAGGGCAGATCATAAGTCGAATACTGTGTAGTGGCCCGTTTCATAAAACTTCGACTGTGCAGTATGCTTACCACTATCGTTTCTGTCCAGGTTCTCGTTCGAGGAGTTGGATTTGCTCTTGCCCTCGACGAACAGCTTCTGCCTCTGCAGAGTCAGGTAGAACTCGACTTCGCCGCTGAAGAAGTATTCCCACTGGCTAATGAGCAGCTCCACGATGATGTTGGCTGCCGAGGAGCTGTTCACCTGGCCGATGTAATCGGCCGGGGCATTGCTGCTCTTGTCGATGCGTGGCCACAGCATGTTCGGCGACATTACGATGGCCAGGTTCTGGGAACTCATCTTGTTGTGCACCGAGCGCTGCTGCACGTGCGACAGGAAGCGGGTGAGGTAGCGCAGGTTGGCGTAGTTCTCCTTCGGCAGCTTGCTCAGAATGGCCTTGATCTCCGTCTTGCGCTCCGCCTCGCTGTGCCGTTCGGCGATCCGGATGAAGTCCTTGTACAGGCCGTACGTGAGCAGTGGCTCGGGCAGCTCGCGCAGGTAGAGCTTGAGTATGGAGCCAATGACATGGGGGTCCTGGTAGTCCAGCGGCAGCGGCGTCTTCACGTGCTGCGCCTCCAGGGCGTGCTTCATGCGGCGCAGCTTGGTGCTCGCGCAGCCCACCCGTAGCAGGCCCTCCTCCTCCAGGCCGTGCTCGAGCAGGCAGCAGCAGCACAGCTCCACAATGTAGGAGATCTCGCGGCTGGTGGATGTCAGGTGCTCCTTGAGCGAGGTGCCAAAGCGGGACTTCTCGGTGCCCTGGATGGTGTCCTGGATGCGGGCCAGCGAGGCGTTCACGTGCTGCAGCGCCCGCTCGTGGTAGTTTCTTTGGTTGAGTACATAGTCGCGGATGCAGCTGACGATCTCGTCCTCTTTGGCAATCAACTCCAGCATCTGGGCCGCCCAGGCATCTCGCTCCTTCTCCAGCTTCAGCTCGCACTCCTCCTGCTGGCTCTTGATGTGGTTCACCTTGGCCGCCGGCTCCTCCAGCCGGATTGCCGCCTGCAAGAGTAGAACAGAGCACTGATTAGTCTACGACAGATAAGCGGCAATGACAGGGAAATCGTCACATTCTAAAAAGCACAAAGTTCAAGTACACTAATTATCTTATCTTATAGCTAGCACCCACTACTGGAAATAGTTTTCCGAGTGACTAATGGTAGATGCCTTCGTATCGGGAAAAATTTGTGGGCCGTATAAAAATAGATCGACCTCAACCGCAACTCGAACAGCTGCTACTGCCTGTCATTAAGGTCTTTGTTTCTAGCCGGACAATGGGTTTTGTATGGGATAAAGCGCACATGCGCCGCTAAATTAGGGCCACTGACTTAACTTTTAGCAATGCACCTGTATCACAAAGGTAGATAAGAAAAACAATTGAACTCAGTTAATGTCAGTTTAAAGGAAAAGGGGGATTCTTGAAAAGAAAAACAAACAATGAATGATTTCATGCCCGTTTTAAGACATTGTACAGATTAAAATAATGGTATATGCATGAGCACTTCAACTATAAATATGTATATTAAAACTGGACAAGTTTAGAAGATATGAAAATATAAGTTTAATTTTTAAATCAATGGCATTTGAAGTTTGATCAGAGAATAAACTTTTACGGACTGAGATAATCCACGTTCAGCGTAAGTAAATAATAAAGTGCCCGCTCTATGATGTAAGTTTTGCTTACAACAGCATTACCCATTGTGTGTAAACAAAGTGGTGCTGGCACTCATCACCCTATCCCGTATCATAACGCTGCTAAAAATAAACAAATCGTGACAAATTGCAGTAAGTACATTCAACGCTATCTGCAACCAGAAGACAATGGCATCCACATCCACCTAACTATCAATTTCTGCGCCTGATTCCCCCCACCTGCGAATCGAATCGCTTGCAGTGACAGAGTGTGATGTGACTGAGTCACATCGTTTCCATGAGCCGCAACCTCTCGATGACCTACATCTACATCCCAGTTGCCACCACAAGCTCTACACATTCCGGGCCCCAAAGTTAGCACTTCCAAAGGCGGCCGTGTGCATATATAGTACGTATTGTTTTCGGATCCGATCTATGTCAGGGAGTGCAATTGGAACAGCACCAGGTCGTCGGTGAGCGTCTGATTAGCGAATTATGGCAAGCCGTCGAGCTTTTATATGGGGCTCAGCAGGCGGCGATAAGATTACCGGGGAGTGTAAATAACTTCGGTTTCGAGTTTTCTGATACGCCCAATGGTCAGTCGGTGGCGGTGGCGGTGGTGCGGCGTCCATTTCAATTATGATGTCACTGCCGCCAAGTCAATGAACGTCTTCCGACACCCTAAACAGACATCATACAGCAACAAATACAGCAGCTAGTCATCCCCGACCGATGGCTCGATATGGCACAAACGGCGTCGTGATTTGTACAAAATAAAGCGGAAAGCAAAAAACGAGGGAAAAAATCAAGAAAACAGAAAACAATGAAACTCAAAAAGTAACTTTCTGTGTCCAGATAGACGATAGCCGGTCATAACTGTTCGGCTCCACACTTGAAGACACCAATTGGCAGAACCAATCGGGTGTCAAGTCAAGAAATTGGAACACCAAACAGCCGTTCATCCCAGCCCATTCCGACCACATCCCACTCCAGAGTCTCCCACTCTGGCGATAAGGCAGCAAAACGACAAGTATCGGATTCGTATCATAAAAACGTAACAACGACAAAATCGAAACGCATGGCAAACAAACAATAGAAACTGGAGTGAGATAGAGCCGAATAAAAGAAAGGCCAGCAACAGCAACAACAAAAGTAATAATAATAAATGGAAATTAAAAATTGATTGCTTCTTTTGCCGGCGCTTCTTGGCATCCGCTTTAGTACAGTGGTTGTGCATTGATTGGAAATTGCGGGGTTTGGTTTTACTTGGAAGTTATATGGCATTTCATTCTGGGAAGGGCTTATCGACTGCTTTTATTCTGGAAACTCCAATTGACACTTTAAAGTCGGATGAAGGTCTCACATAACAGATTTTTGTTTACTTTTTACCGAACTTGAACTTGTTAACTGCACCACAGTGCAATTTTACTCTTCACCGCCAACTACCGGCAGTCGTTGTTATTGTTCGTTAATCAGACACAACCTCGCGATTGGATTTCATTGGGAAACCGAAAACGGTCGAATCACTTGACCAGTTGAGGTAACTTTTTGCGGCCCATTATTCCCCGGCGAGCAGATTTCTTAATTAATTTAACAATCTCCCATTGTCATCGTGCGCAGTTTCGTGAAAACGGAAATCCAACATTATTCACTCTCTCTACACGTAATGCCTAATCCGAGTTAGATTTATGGTCAGCACTCACCTCATGACTGCGCTTCAGCGAGGTGTACTCCTGCAGAGTGCGCGAAACGTTGCGCTTGAGCGTGGAGATCTCCTGGATCTCCTTGTCCAAGATGTTCTTCAGCCGCCTCACCACCTTGGTCTCCGTCTCCAGTTCGCTCTCGATAATGCACTCGGCCATCATCTTCTCCAGCTCGCCTGCAATTGCGAAACACACAGCAATGAGTACCCGACTCGGGAATTTCATATCCCACACTTATCTCCATCTCAAAGGTGCACAGAAAAAAATAATATGCTTGAGATAACAATATGTTTCTATCTGTCTGCATAATGTGCCAACAAGAATAATCCGGAATGTTAAAACAGCAATATTTTGTTTTAAAGAACGATTGTCATTTAAATGCAAGAAACTAACAACTAACATAGTTTCTATAATTTATTTAATTGTCAATAGCGTATTCTTATTATGCTTTAGCTCAAATCTGCTCATACAACCCGACTCGAAAAGCGTAAACAGCTCAGACCCAAATATCTATTATACATAAGTTAACTTTAAAACATGACTTCATCCATGCATACATCTACAAATTGCCATTAATATTTGTATCAATCATTTCTGAAAAATAAAAAGGTAAAAAGGTACTTTTCTGAGTGTATCTTGAAGACTCTGCTCTATTCCGCCCGCAAGTGAGGAAGTCAATGCTTATTTAAGACCTTATCGCCAAGCGGTAACTGCAAAGATGTTGGCGTGCCGGTTTCCAGTTGCCGGAGTTACTCCGCTTTGAAGCCGGGCGAGATCCGGGCAATCCAAGGGGGAGGTGGCAGACGAATAGGTTGACGAGCTGAGTAAGCAAAATTGTGATAATTGTGTTGAGTGCTTCGAGTCTCGAGGCGGCCAGCAGCTGAACCCGCAGCTGAACGTCAAAGGCAAAGGCAAAGGCAAAGGCAAAGAGGTCGCACCACAGAAGCGGGAGGGTGTCCAAAACGAAGACGTCGTCGGCACTGGAGTATAACATTCGAGATCCGCTTGCTTCTCGCTTCCCCTGGTGAATGGGTTGAATTGAGGCGCATCGTGGCTAACAATAAGAGTTGCAAAGGGCGCACAGTGGGTTAACGTGAGATGATATCGCACTGTAATTACGGGCATAGGCGACAAAAAGCTAATTTTAGTGCGGTAATTCTTTTGTTTTTGTGTGTCTGGAGCTGTTTTTAATCGAGCAACTTAGGTGCTTCCCGCCGGCATTAATGTTATTGGCAATAGAGGCTAACATTTAGGTTAACCCGCACAAAATATATGGCCCATTTATACTGAGGAACATTATTTTTGAAATTGGTGCCTTAAAAATGCTTTAAAACAATACGAAGCTTAGATGCTTACGTAACTTTTGGAAGTTGAATAGCATTGTTTAATCTACAACCAATAATATTTTCTTGCAATTTGACATTTCACTAATAAAGTTGGCAATAAATTTGCGAATAATAAACTTTGACATGCAACGACTTAATTAAAAACTGTTTTCCCGCATTTGAGTGAAAGGAAATAGTCTTTCTTTACACCAAATCGTTATTTATTACCCTATTTCGACCCAATTATAAGTTTCTGTGCGTACGGGGTGAACTCACACATAACCCATGGACACACGTTCACTGTGGCTATGATATATGCATGTGGAACCGTTCGTGTCTAATCAGCAACGTGGAGAACTGGGGAAAACAAGGGGTTTTGGAGATCCCTGTCCGTTACACAACCAGCAATGCTCTTGAACCACTGCGAGGTTGCAGCTGCGACTGCAACAGAAACTGCAATTGCGTTCAAACTGCAATTGACGCACACGCATCTGCGAATATGTGGAATGCAGAGTGCTTGCAAAAGGGAAACAGCGAATGGAAACAGTACACAAAATAACACACCGAATGAGTAATACGGCCTAGGGGAGCGCCCACAAAACAAATGAGCAGAGACGAGAAGACGCGGCGCCTGATCATGACGATACGATGATGTATGAATCGGGCTCAGACTTTTACTTTTACTAGCCCCAGTCAGCATAATTATCGCCGTTTACTGGGCTTTGTTATACCACAATGTGGGCTATGTGTAACAAATTTAAATGAAATGCTTAGTAAATCACATAGAAAAAGGGCAATAAAAGCGGGCGCAAGTGGGGGCGGGCTGGACTGGTTGGCAAAACAAAAGTGGTATAAATAGATAATGCCGAAACCGCAAATAATAACCAATACTGCGGGCGAACGGCGAACGGGCTGCAAAGAAAGCAGCGAAAAAGTCATAATAAAAATTATAATAATGATTAAAAAAAAGCCGTCGATGTTGATGTTGCTTTTTGCAGTTGAGAAATGTAAATGCCACAAGGCCAAGCGACAAGGCGAGGCCTCAAATACACAAATGCACGAATACAGAGAAAAAACCGAAGCCCGTGACACAGTCATCCGCGAGTATTCTCCATTCCATTACTCGTCCCATCGGAACCCATACGTGTGCCATTGTGCATGTCTGGCGGCGATTATCGGATTTGGAGCGAGCGACAACCACTGTGCGCCTTATCAGTAGCGCCAACATGACTCCCACAAGGGGCGTATGGGGGAAGGGGGTAGGCCCCCCTAGGGGGAAACTTAAGGAACATATTTTTAAATGTCTTCTGTATGCTTGAAATGATATCTTGAAGTTTTTAAACTTTGTTTTGCTATGACTGTTGTATAAAACTCAACCCCTACTTGGACTACGCCACTGAATCCCAAGCACCCACACAGGCAATCCCGATAACCCGATAACTAACCGCAATTGGCGAGGACCTTCTGCAGCGGCATGTCCTTGGGCAGCTCCTTGGCCGATTCGTCCAGTGCCTGGGCGATCTTGTAGTGGCTGTTCTTCTTGGTCCGCTTATCCTGCTCCTCACTGCTCCCGCTGCCATTTCCACCGCCTCCACTGAGCGCCGGCAGCTTGCGGACGATCTTCTCGATTGTATCCCGATATCTGTCCACCTGCCGCTCGATCGTCTCCAGCTCGGAGTCCTTGCAGTCCGATTTGGTGGATCTGCGGGATGAAGACGGTTGGAATTGACATGGTTTAACCACGGGTTAGGTCATCACTTGTTCACTTTTGTTATTGTTTTGCTTTTGCTGGCGTTGCAGTTGTTGTTTTTGCGATGAGGCAACACCTGTCTGTCCACCTGGAGCGCATTTACACACACCTCCGCACACCGCACACACGCACACACACACACAGACGTCTGATGGCTGGCCTTTGAACTTACCTTGACAGATTTTCGGCTGCTATTTTGATTTTCGCAAACTGCCTCTTCATCTTGGCTGTTTTGCAATTGCCGCTCGCGTCTCCAACGATAACTGAATTTCTGCGTGTTTGTTTGCGATGTGTAATTAGCTAGGCATTGAGTAAATACTTAAAACTGGCAAATTAGTCATTCTTCAACGATGTTTTACGGAAAAGTGAGACAAGTGTGACCGCAGCGGGAGCGCTAAGAAATGCTTAACACCTTATATGAGGGTTTTTCAAAATTCGGTGCCTGGTCTCACTATAATTGAAATGTTTAATGGTTTTTTGTATGCATTATAGCTTAATTTAATATAATACACTTTTAAAAACGGGGTTCTTAAAAAGTTTCTTATTATATTAAAATGTTAGATTAATGGCTTGGATTTTGAAAAACTCAGCTGAATACCCTTTTCTTCTTTAAGCGTTGCCAGACTTTTGTCTAAACATTTTTATCACCTTCTTTGGGGTCACACTGCATTCCACCGCTTAGCAGCACGTGTGTCGTCCCGTCCGTAAATAATAGTTTTATTATTGTTTTACTGACCAAAATGACCCAGGCGGAGATTGTGAAACGTCTCCGGGAGGAGTACGACAGAAGGCACAGCCAGGAGCAGAAGCCCAAGAAGGCGGAGGATCTGCTTACCCTCACCAAAAAGTTCCACCAGCGTGTGCTCGATCTGTTGACCACTCACAAAGTGCCCTACTCCAATAAAGAAGGTAAGACCCAGTCTCCAGAGTACTTTAATCAGTAAGTAAACCTTTTTACTTACAGATGAAGACACCTACGAGGATTACCTGCTGCCGGATACTAAGAATTCGGGCGGGAAAAACAAGAAAAAACAGAAAAAGCAGGAAAAACTTAAAAATCAGGACTCCGACGACGAGGATGTGGACGCCCGCATCGCCTCCATCAAGAACAAGCTGCGCCAGAAGAAGGGACCCACCACAGAGCGCCAGCAGAAAAGGAGAGAGTCCAAAAAGCTGAAGCGCAGTAAGGGCGTCCAGAAACTGCTCCTTTCCTCGGCCAAAAACCTAAAGAACGAGAACGTCAAGCACCAGAAGTTGAAGAACGGACTGGTCAAGACGGAGCAGGATCCGGAGGACAGCAAGGAGCAGATTCAACCGGTCAAAGTGCAGCCGGTCTACAACCAGGAGGCCAAAATCGTGTATTCCAAAGTGGACTTTGCCGCCAATCCGGGTGGTAAGGTTAAGAAGTCCCACCAAAATCCCAAGGAGATCCTGAAGAAGTTGCGCGACACCAAGAAGCATCTCACCGAGCTGCGTGAACAGGGCGAAACGGAAAAGGCCGCCGAGATGCAGACGGACATCGCCTGGCGCAATGCTTTCGACAAGGTCGAGGGAAAGAAGGTCAAGGACGACACCAAGCTGCTGCAAAAGGCCATCAAGAAGCGGCGCGTCGAGAAGAAGAAGTCGAAGACCAAGTGGTCCGAGCGCAAGCAGAAGGTCGAGTATGACAAGGAGAAGCGACAGAAGAAGCGCCAGGGTAACCTGGAGAAGCGCAGCAAGGACAAGAAGACCAGGAAGCTAAAGACGGCCAGCAAGAAGGGCCGCATCATACCCGGCTTCTAATAAGTAACTAGCCTTAAGTGTAAATTAATCTAATGTATGCCACGTTGAAATTCAACTCAGAATGCTCTAGAAAAAAAGTAATTGTTTGGAAAACCTCTTTCTAATTTTTTCGTGTTTGAAACTTACTTTTCCGGCCTCGACACAATCTAAATTCCCCCGACAGAGCCAAATTCCAAGTTCCATAGCCCCCAGTTTTGGCGCCTTGTTTTTGTCCACTTAATGTTATTTATCGTTCCACTGTGCGTTGCGCGGCCCCATCGTAGAGCAGAAAGAAGAAGAGCAGTTGAACAGCTGTGGCCGATAACAACTATCGATTGACATCGCAATCACCCATACAGCTAGTAGCGAACTATTTCATATTTTCCAAGAAACCCAAAGTGGAATTGTTAAGTTGGAGAGCCCACAAATTAGGGGGTATCTTATATCGCGCGATTGGAGTGTCGCCCATTGAAGAAGAAGCACAGCGAGTGCCGCAAAGCAACGAGTCACACGCACGCACACAGCCACACAAATTACGTGCAGAGCGCAATCTATTCCCCCATTTTCCACCGAAAATAAAGCAAGGCAGTCGGAAAAGCAGCCAAATTGCGACGCATTTTGCAGAAGAGAGGAAAAGCAAACAGTTGAAACTAAAAGCGAAACTCGGAAAGAAGTACAACCACTGCAGGAGCCTCAACAATAACTTCGCAGATCAGCACAGTGCAGGAAGAAGAAGCGGCGGCCAGCTGAGAAGTGAAGCAAAGAGCAGGGTCGCAGGGGAAATCAGGAGTAGCTGCAGCAGGGGGCGAGGAAGCGGAGGAAACAAAGGCGTAGAGGCGGCGGGGAGCAGCCACCATGAGCATGGTGCGGCGGATTATCCTGCTGGGCCCCAAATACAACGTCTGGGCTAAGGGTAAGTGCTAGCTGCCTCTGGTTGTTGTTGTTACTGTGCCAATCGCATACGTAACTGCGTCATTAGCCGTGAATCAGGAACAACAAGAAGAAAAACAAGCCAATAACAACAGGCAAAAAAGCCTGCAGTATACCAATTCCAATCCGAATCCACCCCCCATCCCCCAATTTGGCTTATCAGAATTTTCTAGCTGCTGTGCTCGCTGAATATTTATTGTATACTTCAAACCAAAGCAAAACACTGAGTGAAGGTCGTCTTCTTTTGGTATCAAAAACTGCTCGCGGTCAACAGGCAACAGTGGCGTCGCACCAAGGGGGATTCCCACTGATTTTACATTCACAAAACACACATCTGATTGGAAGGCCACATACCCCGTTTCCAATCAGACAGATAGGCGGTTTTGCTTTTGGACCAACTGAACTTGAATTGTTTTATAAGGGCCGAACGGGCAACTAACTTAATAATTACTTTTGCCGCTCTGATGCAATGATTTTTTATTATTTCATGTCATTGCTGGAGCAATTTCTTACACATTTTTAATGGCCAACAGTTGGTTATTAAACTTGTTGGTCTACGGGTTAGGAAAGCCGAAAGGCGGAAGTTTACCTAACAAAATGCACTGCGAAAAACTAGTAAGAGTACAGATTACTTTATGTTTATATATTTACAACCATATTTAGGCCCTGTTTGATTGGCAATACTGCGAAAAAGTTGCAAGTCATCTGCGATATCGTAAGATGCTAATTGCCCTTGGCCTTTATTTGTTAATTTTTTTTTTTTTGTTGGCCAATCTAGAGCTTCTCTTTCTCGGATCTCCTTTGTTGTTATCAATTGTATGTTCTTTAGGAAGCAATAACCCCGCTTTTGGGGTCAATGATTCGATTTGTGCTTTCTTTTGCACACGAAAGGCAATCCAATTTCTGCATCCCCCTACACAGGCAGAAAAAATAATAAACACTTACAATAAAGCTGCAGCTAAGTAACCATTCATTTAATTAAATCAATCTCGTTAGAGCCGGAAGCACTTGAGATACAATATTTGTTTTTTAATCTAATCTAATCAGCTGTGCTCCAAAAGCCTCTCCCAACCCAATTGGGCTGAGTTCAAAAAACGTTGACCAGAATTTGTTTGAATTGCAGATTTTGTGATCTTATCTAACTTAGTTCCAAATTTAATCCAATTTTATTTGCATAAATATGGGAATACAAACTTATTCCGATCAAATTTATTATCTAACCCAATTTTTATAAACAATTGCATTTATTTAATTAAAGTCTAAACGTAAGCATATGTATTTTAAATTATTAAACCTTAATTTCGCCTAATTCCAGGAAGCGGAGTTGGTCAAACACAGCACTCGGCGAGATGCGTTATCCTGAGCGCAGGCGATGCGGAGGTCGGCGTTTGGGGCGTCCGACGCTTCCATCTAGCCACGCGGAACTGTGCGATCAACCGACTGATGAGACTGGAACCCGCGATGGCAATACCGGCGTACATTGATGTCACCAACGCCACTGCAAGAACGCCAGAGGACTCCAGCGACAGTGGGAGTGGCAGCGGCAGTGGCAGTGGAGCCAGTGCATCGGGAGGCGGTGGAGCCAAAAGCCCCGGCGGTGGAGCAGGGTCTGGAGCAAGTACGACCAGTGGCGCCGATCCGCCAGGCGGCGGCAGCGACAAGTTCCTCTCGTGTCCAAAATGCGGCAGCGCCTGCACGCAGGTCGAAACGTTCGTCAGCTCGACGCGATTTGTGAAATGTGCCAAGTGCAACTACTTCTTCGTGGTGCTGTCCGAGGTGGAGACCAAGCAGCGCACCAAGGACGAGCCCAAGAATCAGCGCAAGCCGCCACCTCCGCCGCAGAAGATCATGGAGTACCTGGACAAGCATGTCGTGGGCCAGGACTTTGCCAAAAAGGTGCTGGCAGTGGCAGTGTACAACCACTACAAGCGCATTCACCACAACCTGCCTCAGCTGCAACAGCAGGGAGGAGCTGGTGGCGGATCCGGCAACAACGGCCTCGATGGCATCCCACGTCCCGACCTTCTACACATCACCGGGATCGGTCACACGCTGAACAGCTCGCCGGGCAACGAACTGCCGCCAAAGCCCGCCCAGATGGGCATGGGTGGCGGAATGGGAGGCCACGGACTGGGGGGCGGACTCACCGGCCCAGCATCCAGCAACTCACGTGGCGGCGGCGACCACAGATCCGGATCGGAAATACTTGACCGGCAGTCCAACGATGTCAAGCTGGAGAAGAGCAACATCATCATGCTGGGCCCAACGGGGTCCGGCAAAACACTGATCGCTCAGACGATCGCCAAGTGCCTGGACGTTCCCTTCGCCATTTGTGACTGCACCACGCTGACTCAGGCGGGCTACGTGGGCGAGGACATCGAGAGCGTCATTTCCAAGCTGCTGCAGGATGCCAACTACAACGTAGAGCGCGCCCAGACGGGCATTGTCTTCCTCGACGAGGTGGACAAGATCGGTGCCGTCCCCGGAATCCACCAGCTTCGCGACGTTGGCGGTGAGGGTGTCCAGCAGGGCATGCTAAAGATGCTCGAGGGCACCGTGGTCAACGTGCCCGAACGCAACTCTCCGCGCAAGCTGCGTGGCGAGACGGTCCAGGTGGACACCACCAACATCCTCTTCGTGGCCTCTGGTGCATATACGGGACTGGACAGGTTAATTGCGCGCCGCCTCAACGAGAAGGTGAGGCTAAGATATTCTCCTGGTTTCATTTACTAATTACCCATTCAAAATTCTAGTATCTGGGTTTCGGCATGCCCTCGACCAGCGGATCTGGCCGTCGTGCAGCTCAATCAGCCGCCAGTCCCATGGACAACGATCAGGAGGAGCGTGATAAATGCCTGACGAAAGTGCAGGCACGTGATCTCGTTGAGTTCGGAATGATTCCGGTAAGTATGGGTTTATTGTGGCATTAATGCTTGTATTAAATGTTTTAAAGCCATAAATAATAATATTGTAAATTGCTATTGCTTTTGCACCTAAAAAGTACAAAGATTTTGTCTGTATAATTGGTGAAAATATAAAAACAAACTTCAAATGGCAAAGCATCTGTGAATCTTCTAACTACATATGTATACTGTAAATCAAAATTAATTTTAAACCACATTTGTCTTGCAGGAATTCGTTGGACGGTTCCCGGTCATCGTGCCCTTCCACAGTTTGAACGTCAGCATGTTGGTGCGCATCCTCACTGAACCGCGCAACGCTCTGGTGCCGCAGTACAAGGCATTGCTGGGTCTCGATGAGGTTGACCTTACGTTCACCGAGGACGCGGTCAAGTCGATAGCCCAGCTGGCCATGGAGAGGCATACGGGAGCCCGTGGACTGCGTTCCATAATGGTAAGATGTGATTGAACATTTTAAGCATACAATACAAACACTTAATTATTTTACAGGAGCAACTGCTGCTGGATCCGATGTTCATAGTGCCCGGCTCAGACATTCGGGGGGTACACATAACCGCCGACTATGTCAAGGGCAGCTCCACACCGGAATACAGCCGTGATGCGGACGCCCCGGCATCCGGGACTGTTGCCACGGACTCCGATACCACAACCGATAATGATAAGAACTTTGAGAATAGTGAAAAAGTACGACTAAAACAGTAATTCAGACAGAGATACCCACATCCAAAGCCAATCAAAACAGAAATCGGGACAAAACTTAAAACAAACAAATATCCTACAATTCGCAACGCTTTCCGAATTGTTGGTTCTTCTAAAGCTCATTTGTCTTCTATTAGCTTGTTTAATTGCTCCAATTGCTTGATTTCGAATCGTTCTCACAGTTGAGCGCTTAGTACCATCTGCAAACACAATTCAATGTTACACCTCGAAGACACTTTCATTTCCTGCTTTAATATGTATATTTTTTAGTCTGGTTTGAATGATAAATTGGTTGGTTCGCCGTAGCTCCTTCCCTGCAACCCCATCACTCTGTAAAATATGACCTGCCGTGGAGTGAGTGAAGGCTCCCGCAAATATTTCGAAAGAATATCCTCAATCCCATATGCATCTGTGATTCATAACCGACAAGCAGCGCAATCTTTCGATCCCCAAGCAATTGTAAATGGAATTTCAAATCCTACGATAATGTTAAAATAAATAAAATCGACATATTTTTTAATATAAAACTTAATCTGCAATCTTGGCAGTGATGTGGTCAAGGTCTCTTCGAGCTAGGATCCTCTCTTGCATATACCAATTATATATAAAAACGTAAACATATATTTAGGCAAATTTTGCATAGTGTAAACTGAGTTTCAAAATGAGTTCTGGTAGCGTTGTTAAGATGACAGACGAGAAGCACGTTCTACTTTTAAATAATTTAAGTCAAAAATCAATTTTGAAATAAAAAATTATTAAAAAAAAACAATTTTGGTAATCTTTAATTACTTTTTGTTTAGCAAATTCTATAATGACACTGAATGGGTGATATTTTTTTAATTAAATTTGGTGGCCATCGACTCTTGGAAAAATTTGAAACCTTAGTATGATATACATAGGCGAGGCTACAATTCATTTTATTTAACTTCAGACAATTGTCCATTTTAATTAGGTTTTATCAGTAAAGTCTGAATTTCCGAACGTATTTACATATATATTCCTGATCAGTTGATCAGCATCGCTTGAAATGTTAGCTATAAAAACAGCAAGGGTATATGAACATAATAAAAATCAAATTCACTGCCAATAGAATACGACTTTTTAAGTTTTCATTAATTTTATTTTATTCGTCATTAAAATTTAACTAAATCTGCAGAACTCATAATAAATAATTTGAATTTATTGCACATGTGGACTAATAGTAGTACCTTCTTTTTGTTTCTTTTTCTGTTTCATTTTCATTTCGTAGTGTATAAATTTGTATAAAAATTTGTTAGTTAATAAATATATCTTGGCGACCCTTAATCGTTCTCCTCGGAAATGAGCAGCTCGTATTCCTGTGCCGCAAATCGATCCCAATCGGAGGTCTGTGAAATCGGGAAAACTGTTAGAGGGAATTCAAATACGGAAGCCATAGAGACTCACATATTCGTCACGCTGCGAGGCAAAGGGATCTCGTTGTTCGTGATCCAGATATTTCTCCAAATTGAAGAAGGTATCGAAAAAGACGTGCGTCATTTTGCAGCGCTTCAGATCGCCCAAGGTTATGCAGTCGCGATTCGCCGGCTTAATCATATCCAGCATCTAATAAAATGATAGAATAAGGAAATCTCCAGAGAGACTAAGACCCATCCTCTCACCTGACATAGGCAGTCTTCGAAGGGTAGGCACTCGATGCCGATACCCTCCATGCGTTGTTGTTGCTCCTCGTAGAAGTATTCCAGTTCGTACATGGACAGCACACCATCTCCGTCGACGTCCATACATCGAAACCAGTACTCAATGGCCGTCGGCGTCCGTTTGTCCTCCTCTGACAGGATGAACCACACAAAGTCCGTGTAGGACATCTTGGCCTCGTCCTCCGGGGCCTTTTTGTTGTCGCTGCGCGTCACACAGCCCGAGAAGATGCGCTCCACGATGCGCGACGACAGGGCATGGTCACTGTGCTTGGCCAGATCCTCCTGGTTGACCAGCAGGTCGTGATCCTTGTCCAGCTCCCAGAACTTGCAGTAGATCACGTAGAAGTGCTCGTAGCTGAAAAAGGCCATTATCTGGTTTATGTCCTCCTCCTCCTCCAGCAGACTGATCATCTGTGGGCGCGTTTAAAATTATACATTATGAGAATTAGTTTGATTATTTCACAATATTTGTAAATATTTATAGATCACGGAAACATTCATCGCACCTCCAGCAGGTCGGACCGCTTTAGTTCGGCAATGGTGATCTTGCCGCTCCAACTGCGGTTCACCGAATAAAAAATGCGCGCGATGACTGTGTGCACGTATCTGGAATGGAACTCGGTGGCTTCCTTGAGAAAGGCCAGGCCGGGGTGTGTGTCCACCACATCCTGCACCATTGGCACCAGGTCCTCGGGCACGATGTACGAACGGAATCTCTGGCCTCGCGACAGAATGTAAACGAATCTCGAGGCCGCCTCATGGCAATAAACATTCATTCTGAAAGATTTGCATATATCAATTTACGAAAATGGATGCTTTTGATTATAATTTGATTTATGATAACAGAATCTTTTCAAAAATTAGTGTTATGTTTTTTTTTTCAAGTCAATAAAAAGCATATGTAACATATGTGCTCTGACAAACAATTGTTCTACACTTAGAAACATTTTTAAAATGTTTAATTTCAAAAAGAAAATTGAACATTTCAGTCGCTCATATGAAAATAAATACGAAATATATTGTTTATTTCTGTATTGGCTTTTATGTATGTTTTAAGTATGCGATCTTAACGTTGTTAAGCCATCTTCTTATTCATATTAACTTGTTTTAAATATATAAAAAACCTTTATTGAAAACTAGAGAATAGGAATAGTTAGATCATATATGGGACGAACTTACTGTTTCCAGAACTCGACGAACCGCTGGCGCTCGACGAGACCCGAGCTGGCCGACTGGCAGAAGACCATGACCGGCATGCGCCAGTAGAAGGGCAGGCCGCAGATCTTCAGGATGCGCGGCAGCTCGTCCTTGGTCACCTGGTTGTTGGGAAAGCTGTCGAAGGCGGAGAGAATGCCCCGCACCACCCGTTCCATGGCGATGTTGGGCTGCGGCTTGCCATGTGGAAAGTAGAATCTGCCGGGTAATGGTAATGGTAATGGTAATAGTAATGCACACCCGAGAAACCACATCAAAGGGCTTGAATTGTGGATCCGCTCACCTGGGTATGTAGACGCTCTTCGTGGAGCGGATCTCCTTCTGCAGCAGATTCTGCTCCGGCGGAGGGGGCGGGGTGGCGTGCAGCTTGACCTGTCGACAAATATGCAAACGCAAAATTAATTTCACTCACTAATTGTTTACATTCTCTTGTTTTGTTGTGTGGTGGCTGCCAAAGCGCCACTCAACTCAATAAAATTTGCAATTTATTCTCGAAGAATTCAATTTGTTTACGTTTTCGCGGAAATTTTTCTCACTCTTAAACGAAAAGCCGCAGACAGCCACGCCCATATCGACGTACATTCGCCCTTTACCTTTGAATTTATTATTAAATGTTTGCCTTTCAAATAAACATCAACAAATTGTTGGCTAATTTAAGCGGTGAGTGGAGGCGCAAATGCAAATACTTTTTGTTTAAATTAACTTTTCGCTTTGGTAAATAATGGAAACATATTTGGTCCATGGGATTTTTATGTTGCGAAGTTTTGGTGCTAAACAAATTAAATTGTTTTCTTGAAAAAAAATGCATTAACACATACATAACTTTTTTGCCATCTATAAAACAAAAGAAAGTGTTTCTATGTGGGCAGTTTTAAGAAAACATATTGTACATATTATGCTATGCTGATAAATTCAAGACAAAATGGTTAGCAAAGTAAAAAGACAAAGCCCAGTGCTGAGCATTAATAAATGTTAAACTAATATTTTCAGTTTGGTCATAACATTCTTTGTTCTTCCACATTTTTTCTAGCCAAAATAATATGACTTTATTTGGTTTTTATACGTATGAGGACGTTTCATCGGTTATAATCCATGCACAGGCCATTCATGATTTTAAAACTGTCAACGGTGACATAAATATTAATTTTCTCACTCGGTCACAACGAGAAGAGCATACAGAAGAACAAACAATTCATTGGCATGTGCACATATTACGTATACGCCCGGCTACACATCGTTTATAGTCAAATATTACGCATACGCATTGTTGCCCAATTTATAGACAAAAAGCAAAGAGAAGTAAAAACACTAGTGAATTGAACGCATACTATTTGTGTCTGCCCCTGCCTAAAACTCAATTGCAAAAAATAGGTTTTGTTTTTTCGTTGAGGATTATATTTTTAGCTGATTTGTTTGCTTTGATCAGACGGAATTTCACAAGCAATCGTAGTAAAGCAAAGTTCAATTGTTGTGGAGAGATTTTTGGTTTGGCACATCATTCATAAAAAAAAAAAACGCCCGCACATGTAATTAAGCAATTAAACAATTCTGAAACAAAAACCCCCCACCAAAGCAACAATCAGCACAAAGCCAACAAAAAAGCGAATTGCATTTCGAAGTGCTCAAAAGTGATGATGATCATGTGCTTGGGTTGTATTGAATTCGGTTTGGTTTTCGTTTGGTTTATTTTTTTATTTCTCCGCCCGTTTCTCTCTCACATTTGGATATTTTGCCTTTGCACGATTGTGCTGATCGTAAATGCTTGATTTGATTGTTTATATACGAAAATATGCACACAACACTGGGAGCTCTCGATGTGGGTAAGAGCTATAAACCCTGCAAAGGGGCTGTGTAGTCAACAGGTTCTTGAGCGGCTAAGCAAATTTTAGCAGAATGTGTTTTGAATATATTAGTACAGTGCGTTGCAAAACTACGAAACAGGGAACAACTCTTCCGTTTTCACGACTACTTAACAAATCCCAAAAACTGTTTTGATTTAGTAATCACTTAATTCGTTTTTTAACTTCTCAAAGTGCTAATCACTTCGGATCAAAATTCTTCATTAAAAATTAATTTATTATATACATTTTGAATCGGACTTAGCATTGGCATTTTGTCGTGACGTAATTTGATAATAATTTGCACTTATATAAAGTGAATACAATAATTTATTTGGCTAGGTGAATATAATCGTTTTTGATACCGAAATTTTACTAAAAACCTTTGTATAACTTCTTTATTAGATACTTTTTTTTATAACCATTGTAAATATTTACACAATTCTGAGGACACCCTTAATATTTTATATTAATGTTCGTTGCTTAAGATAATTTTGTAAGTCAACATAATGATTATTTTAAGATTGCTTTGATAATCTACACACATTTTAACACATAGTTGTCCATATATCCCATGCTTTTTTCGCAGACGCGTAGTTGCTTATAATATTGTTTTGTTCGTAGTGCAAAAGCTGAGATTGTGATTTAGCTTCTTAAAATGTAATCCCCTTTCTTTTCTGAACCTTTTTTACTCCTCTGGCCGCCGATCTTCCCCAGCCATTTGGCAAGCGTTTCTCGTGAGGCGTCTTGGGGTAACCTTAAATCAATCAATGATGCAGTTCGCTCGCACCGATAAGAGCAGCCCACAAAAAGTCGAACGAAAACAAATGGGCAATTGCAATTGCAATTGGTTCGATCTGCGGCGATTTTTCGATTTTTTTTTACATTGTCTTGTGGCATTTTCAACTATTAGATAACACCACGAGCACACGATTTTCGCCCCTCGAATGGCTGATCGGTATGGATATAACTCATAACTCACCTTTATGAGGCTCTTGGGCGGAGTGTCCGCCTGCGGGCGCTTGATGTTCAGGAAGGCGTGCCGCACATCCGGACACTTCTCGAACATGAGGACGCGCTCGGCCACGGAGCCGCGTGTGAGGAGATTCACTGGAAGAAGAGACCGAGAGATCTGGAGTTGTGGCGCGCTCAGGGAAATGCGGACTCGATTCGGTTATATTACTTTTATCCTGGCCATTGGTGAGGGCCGCCCGCGCCCCGCTGGTCGGTTTGACTTTATTCAACGTTGGCATCGTTGTGCTGGCCGATGTTGCTGGCGTTGCATCCATCGATGTTGCTGTTGCTGTTGCTGTTGCTGCTGGTGTTGCTGTTGCTGCCGATGTTGCTGCTGCTGCTGCTGCTGCTGCAGCTATGTTGCTGGCGTTATCAGTGGCGATGCGACTTGTTGATTTGCGTGTTGTGGCCACAGTTGCCACTCCCGTTGTTGGTTTTTCTTTGGTTGCCGGCTTCGTATCGGCGCTGTTTTCTTTGGTTTTGCTTGACTTGCGATTTGTGGCCGCTGGCTCGCCGCCCTTATCACTCACTGCCGCCATGCTGTTGCTGTTGGCCATTCTCGCGGATGATGGCCCGTCCACAGCATCTAGGCTAACAGCCAGAGATCCGTTCCTGCTGCTGGCCTTGCTCTGCTTTTTGGTGGGTTGCTCTGAGGCTGTTAACTTGCTTGCGCTGGCCGAGTTTGCACTGCTTATGCTGTTGTTGTTGCCTGTGCTGTTGGCCATGGTCTTGCTGTTCTGCCGCTTTTTGCCCACTGCGGCTGGGCTCTGGGCCTCCTTCTGCTGCTGGATGAGCTCGCTGATCTTGAGCAGATTCTGGGTTTGCTGCGTGGACAGATTGTTCACGTCCAGGTCCAGGCTGATGTCATAGTTGAGGTTGACGTCGGGCAAGGGTTTACTGACGGCGGCCACCTTTTTGGGCGACTGCAGGACCTGATCCGGTACAGGACTGAAGCTGGAGCCCACCGCCTTTTTCACCTTGCCATTGGAGGTGATATCGGATTTCTTCAGGCTGTTGGTCTTGCCGCGTTGCTCCTTGTCCTTGTTGACGAAGCTGGTGACCATCTTCTGGAGGCCCTCGGTGTCGGCGGTGGGCGAGGCCACGTTCGAAAGGTCACCGGAGGCGGCGGCATTTGTGTACATCTGCAGGAGCTCGGGTGGCGGGATGCCCTGGCTCTTCCACGTCTCATAGATGGCATCGGCGTGCTCGTTGATCTTCTTGGTCAGCTCGGCAATCTCGGCATGGGAATCGCTGGTGGCCGTAGACGACGTACTCGATCCCTGGGACTTTGGGGACTTGGGACTGGCTCCGGAGCCCGCTGGCTTCCGTGTCGTGGTGGTGGTTTTGATGGCACTCGTCACTGCCACCGAGCTGATCATGTTGCTCCCCGTCCCGCTGCTCAGCTTCTTGGTCTTGGTGGTCGTCGTTGTTGTGGTGGTGCTCGAATTGGCTTGCATTTTGCTTAAGTATCTCGGATAATTTGTGTTTTTCTGTTTTTTCTCTCGCTCTCTGGTTGGATATTCACATTTTCACTGCTCACATTTTTATTTCAATAATTTATTGAATTCTTAATTGAGTTTTTATTTAATTTGCCCGGCTTTTGTTGCGCTTTTTGGCACTGCGAGATTCACATGCGTTTCATTCACTTCTCACATTTTCAGCGTTTTCAACTTTTTCTCCGTAGACTGCGTATGGCGAAATCTATTTATATAAAAGAAAATACCAAAATTTCCTATTTCGTTTATTTCAGACGCCGAAACCGAAACATACAGCCAAACACTCGAAACACAGACGCACCGCACGAAAATACACGGATACGGATTCGGGACCAGGCATCGCATCAGCGGAATACCGAGCAGATACGTAAGACGCGTACACGGCGGGCACAGTGGTTGCAGAACCATTATAATAATAGACATTCAACTGCCAGGAGCAATCATCATATCGTGGGATTAATTAATGGCCCCACACCTTTGGCGCCGAAAACGTGAACGATTATCGTGCCAGTTGAATCACCTAGACATTTCATCTGGTTATGCTTGCGCAAAAACAAACAATTAATCAATTGATTTAATTGAATCAATATTGACGGGTCAAAAAATTAACTAGAACCCACCGTGCATGCGTAAGATATAGACAAATGCGGACAAAAGAATAGCTCTCAATGGTCTACCGAAATTTACCTAAGATCTTTATTTTAATCTCTACCATTTTATGTACGATTGTGGTTCAAGGAATAGCTTTCTACAAAATAATAATACTTTCCTAAAATTTAAATGCACACAATATATATTATTTTCATAAGTAGTAATAATAATTAATAAAATGCCACAATAAGATAATGTCATTAAATTTTGTTAAGTGTCTTTCGCAAATCTCTTCACGGAACTGACCTACGTATTTACATAAAGAATGAGTTGTCTATGTATTTTTAAAACCATTTGATAAGTCTTATTTGTGTTCATCGAAGTCAAGTTTTTTATCACCCTCAAATGGGATGTTAATTCGTTAAACAGCGCAGATAAACATTTAGACAAACAACGAATTCTACTATAGTTATTCGGTGAGCAATCCCTTAAAGTGGCGCTGTGAATTCAATTAGCGGTTCTATTGTCTTGACCGCAGCTGTCGATTGTATTATTTCGCTGTTTTTACGTGGGGTTGCGGTGGGATGGGATGAGACCGGGAGCTGCGTCTGCGACTGCTGCTTCTTCAACTTTGTACTATTTATTCGAAAATAAATTTCGAAGTAGTTGCGGCTCACAGACACACGTGCAATGCACTTTACATATGTTTAATGTCCCTGTGTGGTATGTGTGTGTGGTGGGGTGTATGACGTACATATAGTTTGATATTTGTCTGCCTTTATTAATGATTTAATTGCATTTGGGACCGGAGGCGCGCGTGCTGACGACAACGGCGACACCGAGAGATTCCGTCATTAATTAATTAACCAAGCCAAACCGAGCAGAGGTTAATCGACATTTGCGCGGCACGACATTTTTTGCGAATTTTCTTGGTTCGAAATTCGCGAATTATGGACGAATGTTTTTCAATCAGAGGGGAAAAAACACACGCGGCCGCGGGATATTTTGGAAAACTCTGGCAAGCTTCCGCTTGGCGAGTCTAAAATTAACAGCAAACAGAGCACAATTCACAGATCACCGATCGGAAAACAGTTCGTCGTATATCCGAGCGTATAGCGGTGCACGCGATGCTGCTAAGGTCCGTGTTGTTACTGTAAATCTTCGGATCGGCCGCTGAAAATAACATCAGCCTCCGTTTTAGTTCTGCCAGCGATCGAGCCAACGGAGCGGATGAGCGAGAGATCGCGGTGATCTCAGCTGTTGCTGTTGCTGTTGCTGTCGCTGTTGCACTACGCTAATGACGCTCGCAGCCCCCAAGAACGAGCGCTCCCACACACTCGCGACCTGCGATCGTATCAGAGGTGACCCAATCGACGAAAAATAGATAGTGACATATATTGGGGTGAAAAAGCGCCAGATGGATTGATTTTAATATGTCGGAGGATGGGGCCCAACTGATCCCCAAATGGTAAAGGCGCTGACATTAATTAAATAATCCGTTTTCTCTTTAGTTTAAGGATTTGTTTTGGATAGATCAGTAGCACCACAAAACTTACTCTATATTTAAATTTGCGAATAGCTACCGAAAATTTCAAAGGTTTGATTTCAATACTACATAACTTACAGCAGACGACAAAAGCCAGAGATCAAGGCTATAAGTTCTATTGATTTCAAAACAACTAATTTAGTTTTAGTTCAATTTAAATCTGTCAAAAACCACTTAGGAACAATGAGAACTAAATTAATGTTCTTAAAAACACAGATGATATCATTACGCAAACATGCTTTAAAAATTAAACCAAGATTCATAATTCATTTTTATTAATATTAATACTAATATTAATATTAAATTTTAATTTTGTTCTTTTAAAAATTCTTCAAATAGTTAGCAAATAGCTAGAGCGGCAACTCAATCGCGGCGAGAGTGAAAAAGAGAGACAGAGAGCGCCGGAGAGAGCGGCGCCCAAAAAGATCGCCCATTACTTTGGCGTTCTTTGAGCAGCAGCTCCACCGAAATGATTTGCTCTGACTGCGCTCTCACTTTCTCACTTACCCCCACACGACGGCGCAGCGGCAGCGACGTCGGCAGAACACTTGCCGTCGTTTACCCACTCACACGCAAACGCACACACATTCGCACACCAATCCATTGTCGAACATAAAAAATACAAAAATCAAATCATAGGTGTTTGTTAATTATACACTGTGCCCTGGAGGCAGGGTGTCACGGTTCAGTTGGAAGGTTTGACGTGACTTCACGCTTACCCTTATCCACCCGAAAATCTGTTAGACTGCATGGTTTAAATCAAGCCTTTCTTCTATATTCAAAAACCTTCTATAATTAAATTCTGTGTCCCCTTGAATGATTCTTTTAATCTAAAGATCATAGGTGTCACAGAAGTCTAGTCAGAATACAAATAATATATTTATTTCTATAAAATATTTTTTTGTAGACAGACGTACATATCACTACAAATTTAAAGTACGCTTTTAGGCGCTTTCTCACTGCAGATAGCTTCTTTCTCCTTAAAAGTATATTGTTACCAGGCTCTGCTATAAACTAAATATGTTGTTTAAAAGGCTTCGAACATTTCCAGTTCTGATTGTTCCATATTTATAAATTGTCGACATTTATAGTGTATCTTAAGGTCTAACCTAACTTAGCCATTCTTCTGCAGTTTCGTTTTTGTCTGCCTCATTGAGCAGGAAAACAAAAAAAAAAAACTACGGATCGAAGCATTTATCTCGCTTATTTGCTAATGCTAAATGATTGTCTTCTTCTTCTCCTTGGGCCGCCTTCTTCCTCTTCACATCGCAATGTTTGTTGCAGTTAGCTGTTAGCTCTTTATTGTCTGTCTTTATTGTTGCTGTACCCATTTTGTGTCTTGGCTTTTTATGCTTAGGCCATTTAGCAGGTGGGCGGGTGACTTTTGTTTGTTTAAAGAAACCCAAAAATGCTGAATAAATTGAAATGCGATTCATGTTTTAGTTTATACTGTGATTTGGTTTTTTTTTTACATTTTTATATACAGAGAATTATACATACGTTGATATGAAAACCGCAATTGCGGCTAACGATGACGCCGATAATGCCGATAATCATAATGATGATGGCGATCTGAGCTCAGCTTCCGGTTTTGCGCTTTGCTATTTTTGTTAATTCTGATTTTTTTCGCTGTCTAACTTCATATGAATATGTATTACCAGCTATGTGTTTTTGTATTGTTTTGCGGTGGGTAATTGATTTAAACCGAAAGATCTGCCAAGCCTAACATGTGTCGACTGTCACACCGAATGACAGTTATTTCGGTTTAGTTCCATATTAGGGCTGGGCATTAGGCGTGACATCCCGGCCATCTGGATTAGCCTAAAACTTGACCCAATTCAAGCTAACGTGTTGAGCGAGCGGACAAAAGCGAACAAAATGCTTTTATGCCAAAGTTGGATTGACAAAATAAAACCCAAACTGCCCACGCGAACAAAACATGTGCGGAAAATTCAATGGAGGTGCGAATAGATCAATCGCCACAGCAAAATCCATAAGCAGCTTATTGCTTGGGAGAGGGAATTCATTTTTGGGCATTTTAAGAGATTTTTTAATGGTATTTTTTGATTTGTGACAATCAAAGCTCTCGTTAAATCCACGACAAGCGGGGCTCGCCAAATGTGCGTTCATCAACACTCACGCTGCGTATACTTAATTGCGCATACGCACTGGGGTTGCTCATGGCAATTCTTCTGCTGCTGGGTTTTGCTTTATTGTTTTTCATATTTTCCCAGCATTGACACAATAAATTGCTGAAAGCAAATTGTCAGCCAAAGCAAAAGCTCGGCCAGAACCCTTCTTGGAAGCCTTTGAAATGTCTTAACTATTGACAATGGCCCATTGCGATGCGCGTTCGCTTTTGTTATGGCTATTATGATTATAAGCTGTCGACACTTTCCTTTGCACATGATATATTTTAAGGTCTGGGCTAATTGAATTTGAAAGCCAAGGGTTCTCCGAGTCAGGGAAAAACTATAAAAGCCAGAGTGCGAAATGCAAGCAATGCAGGTTTCCAACGACCAATCGCCGCGAATAGTCCGCTCCAGTGAAATATTCAGAATCCAGGAATCCTTTATGTAAAAAGTGTTAGAAATATTATTAGTGAATTTGCAGCTTTTTATGTAGACAGTGTGATATAGGCGGGATATAGTGACGCAGCCAGATAACAAAAAAACACAATGGAGAGGTACGAGCCCGAAGAGATCCATAGATTTCAAGTCCTATATACTGCATTTTGGTTCGGTGTTGCAGCTTTGCAGTAGCAGCCGCGCAACTGGGGCCACACTTTGCCCCCCTGTCCAATGGATCGGTGGTGGATAAGGTCACGCCCGACATGGCCCACCTGATCAGCCCGTACTGGAACCAGTTCCCCGCCATGGACCCCATCTGGGCGAAGATCCTGACCGCCTACATGATCATGATCGGCATGATTTCCTGGTGCGGAAATGGCGTGGTGATCTACATATTCGCCACCACCAAGTCGTTGCGTACGCCCGCAAACCTGCTGGTCATCAACCTGGCCATCTCGGACTTCGGCATCATGATCACCAACACGCCGATGATGGGAATCAATCTGTACTTCGAGACCTGGGTCCTCGGTCCCATGATGTGCGACATCTACGCCGGACTGGGCTCGGCCTTCGGCTGCAGCTCCATCTGGTCCATGTGCATGATCTCGCTGGATCGCTACCAAGTGATCGTCAAGGGCATGGCCGGCCGGCCGATGACCATTCCGCTGGCTCTGGGCAAGATAGCCTTCATCTGGTTCATGGCGAGCATTTGGTGCCTAGCGCCCGCCTTCGGCTGGAGCAGGTGAGTCCCCTTCTATTAATATATTTATTTAATTAGTTACATTATAGGTTTTTTTAAAAATTTAAAAATTCTTCAAAGACTAAAAAGTTTTAGAGTTTTTTTTTTGAAATAAAAAAATTAAAACATTTAACTAAATATTTTTAAAATTATACGAATAGAAACATTTATATTTAAAAAAAAACAAAGAGTATTGGATCGTTTTGAAATAATTTCCCAAGCTGAACTTTAATCGTTCTTTTTAACATTAATATCAAAATTATTAAAAATTAATTTTTAAAGATTTTGAGACTTAAAGAATGTTAAACTATAAAGCCTCCCGTAAAACTATACCCTCTATACTTACCAGGTACGTGCCGGAGGGTAATCTGACATCGTGCGGTATTGACTACTTGGAACGCGACTGGAATCCACGCTCATACCTGATCTTCTACTCCATTTTCGTATACTATATCCCCCTGTTCTTGATCTGCTACTCTTACTGGTTCATCATTGCTGTAAGTGGCAAGGCGATGTGATTATCCAAGTGACCCATCCTGAAATATTTCCTCCCCCAGGCTGTGTCCGCCCACGAGAAGGCCATGCGCGAGCAGGCCAAGAAGATGAATGTCAAGTCCCTCCGCTCCTCTGAGGATGCCGAGAAGAGCGCCGAGGGCAAGCTGGCCAAGGTGGCTCTGGTGACCATCAGCCTGTGGTTCATGGCGTGGACTCCATATCTGGTCATCAACTGCATGGGACTGTTCAAGTTCGAGGGTCTCACACCACTGAACACCATTTGGGGAGCTTGCTTCGCCAAGTCGGCCGCCTGCTACAATCCAATTGTATATGGCATTAGGTGGGCATCTATGTTAGAATATACTGCAGTCCTAAAACAACGTTTATTGCACCATCTAGCCATCCCAAATACCGGCTGGCCCTCAAGGAGAAGTGTCCTTGCTGCGTCTTCGGAAAGGTCGACGATGGAAAGTCGAGCGATGCCCAATCTCAGGCCACCGCCAGCGAGGCCGAGTCCAAGGCATAAATTCTTTGGCGCAACAACCAGAACAGCAACAACAACATCTAACTACTTACAACAGCAACAAAAACAACAACAACAACAGCAAAAACAACTGCAGCAACAGAACGAAACGCTTTCGAATAACATTAAAAACAACAATAATGAACAAATTATGCAAATTTCTTACAATGTAAACTCAACTATCAAATCTTCTGCAATGTCAGTTAAAGACAAAAAAAAACTAAACAAAAAAAATAAATGCAAACGAACTAGAAAAGTTACTTCAACATG